CCGGCTGTTCCTGGTATGCATGGGGGTGGGGGAGCCCCCTGCGCCCCCTCGGGCGCGGCTGCTCCAGGCCCCGGCTGATGGGATACACCAGCACTAGCACCAGCTGCTTAGAATTCCTGGTGTTGAGCGGCCCAGCCATCTGGGGAACATCTGGGCCCAGACACCGCAGGCTGGCTGTTGTGGGGGGCTGGGTTTTGGGTGCGCTGTCTGCTGCCCCTCAAGGGATTCTTCCCTAGTCGGATCAGGCACCCGGAGTGGCAGAGGCTCCACCAGGTGTGGGCCGAGCCGGGACCTGTTCTCAGCATGGCCTCGCCCCCCTGCCAAGGCCGGATCTGGGCTGTGCCTAGGGCAGCAGCTGGTGGTGCCCAGAGCCGTGCTGGCCCCGCAGGCCAGAATGGCCCCTTGGGACTCCCGCACTGCTGGGTCTAGGTTCCTGTTGCTCCCTGAGTGGAGCCGAGCCCTTTCCCTGGGCTGCACACAGCGTGGGCTCGGGCCTCTGGAGCTGGAGGTCCCCGGGCGGTGCGAGAGGCGCCCGGAGCCCAGGATGCAGAGATGACGAGCTCCGAGCAAACCTGGCTTTGCAGCGAGTTCGTCTGGAGGCCAGGGGCTTTCCCGGGCAAGCAGGGCTCACAGCTGGGTCCACAGACTGTCCTGGGGTTGGTTACAGACGCCTCCGCAGTGTCGGGCATCGTGGTGCTGTCAGCCCCTAGCTCTGACTGCTAGACACCACCCTTTCCTAGAGCCAGGAATACAACCCGGGGTCCTCACTCCCAGCCTCCGGCTCTAACCCACTAGACTCCACCCCGTCCCAGAGCTGGGGATAGGACCCAAGAGTCCTGACTCACAGCCACCCCCTGCCTCCCTGGCTCTAACCCACTAGACTTCACACCCTCCAAGAGCTGGGAGAGAACCCAAGAGTCCTGACTCCTGGTCCCCCCTTCCTCTGCTCTAACCCACTAGACCCAGCCCCTCACAGAGCCCGGGAGAGAACCCAGGGGTCCTGGCTCCCAGCCCCCAAACTTCCCTGGGTGCAATGTGGGGGTCACGGGGTCACCCAGTAAAAATGGGCTGATCCCAGAAATACTGGGGCTGGCTGACCCTATGACACAGCGTCACATAGGGGGTCGCAGCCTCGTGGTCTGCACCAGCATCGTTCAGAGACTGTCCAGTGTGAGCTCCTGGCTAGTGCAGGCCGGAGACCTGCCCCGAAAGAACCCCCAGAGCACATTGCGCGGAAGACCACCCTGGCATGGTTTAACAATGGCCCAAGGGGGAGAATCCCCCCCTCAGTGCGTGGGATGTAGCTGGTGACAGGCACTGCTGAAATTAGGAGTACATTTTGCTGTCTGAATTTGTCAGCGCTGGCTTCCAGCCGTGGGGTGGTGTGACTTGGTCTGGGCTGATTCCTCCCACTCTGAGTCCGAGGGGCTGTGGGGCTCTGCAAGCTGGGCCAGGGGCCTTGCCGTGGCCTTGGTGGAGGGCCCTGCAGCGCGAGCCGGTGCGGGTTGTGTTAAGGGGGGGCCGGGCGCCCTGTGTGTTCCAGGCATGTGTATTAATAGAACAGCGCTGGGAATCGATTGGCTTTTGGACCCCATACCGAGGGGGCTCTGAGCCCAGGCAAGGGAGGCGTGAATGCCCTCACGTCCAGGCCCCTGTGGCTGGGAGAGGCGGGCATTGATCGATGCTGTGCTCGGGGTGTGAGGGGAGGCTGGGGGCTTGTCAATCGCAGGCTGGGGTGGGTGCCAGGCTCTGATCCAGAGACAGGGTCTCATTAGCCTCCCAGGTGCTGGTTAGTGTGAGCAGGTGGAGAGCCCCTCCTCTATCTTCCGGTAATTTCCTTGGGAGTGGTGTGGGGTGGGGGTGACCAAGGGACACCCCTGGGTCCTGACTCGAGCCACTTCCCTTTGAGGAATGCAGAGCACTTTGCAAACTAGCTATTTCAGCCTAAGCCCCTCCCAGGATGGTCCAGTATTATTCTGCTTTGACAGATGGGGAAACGGAGGTGCAGAGCTGGGCCATGACTTGTCCAAGGTCACCCAGTACAGAGCTGGGTGGAACCCAGGAGTCCTGACTCCTAGTCTGCTGCTCTAACCACCAGAGCACACTCCTGTCCCTGAAAGCTGCACTTGGAAGCCAGCAAGCCTGGCTCCCTGCACTAACCGCGAGGCCACTCCTGGCCCTGGGATGCCAACGGGATGTCTGCAATGGGACACTGCTGAGTGGCCTGTCTTGCACCTCTCAATAACGCACCCGCTGTTGGATTTACCGGCCGGGGGGCTGGGTGCCACACTCCTGGGGTCACACCCCGGCCTCGCTGTGCTGTGGGTTTGGTTTGGTTTTAGTGTCATCCAGAAATACGACATCATAGAATCCTAGAATGTCAGGGTTGGAAGGGACCTCAGGAGGCATCTAGCCCAACCCCCTGCTCAAAGCAGGACCAATCCCCCACTAAATCATCCCAGCCAAGGGGTGCTTAAAAAGCTCTAAGGAAGGAGATTGCAACCCCCCCCCCCAGGTAGCCCATTCCCGTGCTTCCCCACCCTCCTCGTGAAATAGGGTTTCCTAGTATCCAACCTAGACCTCCCGCACTGAAGCTTGAGACCATTGCTCCTTGTTCTGTCATCTGGGTGGCAGGCGCCATCCTCCTGGGATGGATTGAAACGTTCCAGAAACGGTCCTGCCGGGAGCCAGGTCCTGCTTCGTCCTTGGGCCTCCTGCGCCCACCCAGTGCCAGTGATCGGCGCCCGCCCACCCCAGCGGGGCAGCTCGTGGCGGGGAGGGGGGTGGGTCTGGGCGGAACAGGCCCCTCATTTACACCGAGCCTGTGGGGTGGGAGCTCCTGGGGTGTGGCGGTGGGCCGAGACTGGGGGCTTGCAGTCCCGGGCCCCGTGTTGCGGGCGTCTGTCGCTCGCTGGAGACCTGGGGCTGGCAGAGGACGCATGTCCCCCGCTCAGCGGGCGTGTTGCTGCAGGGTGTTGGCACAGGGGCTCGGGCGGGGGGAGCCAGGGCCCCCCAGACAGGAGCCTGCCGCTACCCCGTTGCTGCCATGGCAACCCCTGGCCCTGGTGCCTGCCTGGCCCTGGAAGCCGCTTCCTGCTTAATGGGGGGGCCGTGCCATCAGTCCAGCGCCCGCTGTTCGGGGAGTGCGGGCCGAGCCAGGGCCAATGGTGTCGTTGCCAGGGTGATGGGAAGTGGCTCTCGGAAAGCTGGGCTGGCTGCCGGAGGCTGAGGGCTGCAGCCGGAAAATCACCGGGCTGGGGGGCATTGTGGGGGTGGCGGCTGCACTGGGAAGCCAGCTCTCGAGACGGGGATGGCAGCCCCTGAAAGCCCCCGAGAGCAGCGCCCGTGGTGTTAGCAAAGGGGGCTCCCTCCCCTGGCGGGGCCGGAGGCGGTTCTGATCTGGCTCCCCCTTTCCATGTGCCCCGCTCTGCCAACGCCCCCCAGCGTGTATGGTACAGCTTCGGCCTGGCAGTTTCGCTGCGTGTTTCCCGGGCCCCGTCAAATGGCCGCAGTAGCTGGGAAGGGGTCAGCCATGCTCAGACCGGGAGCCCATCTGGAGAGGGAATCCCTGAACCTGGCATTGCCCCCACTCTGTCCCAGTGGCCTGGGTCTGTCCTGCATCGGCAGGACCAGAAGACCCAGCACCAGAGTCCCCCCTACCCCGTGCAGGGGCGGGAGGGGTGCAAACCCCTCCGCTTGGCACAGTGCCCTGGGAGCCATGGAGAGCGGGTGGGACCTTGGATTTTCAGCTCTCAATTTAAAGCCACCCCCAGTGCATGGGGTGTGTGCGGCGCAGAGCAAGCCTAGCGGGCCCTGGGGTGGACCCAGAGACATGAGGCAGGTTACGTAATCAGTGGCTGGGGGCAATGCCCATAGCAAAGCCTCCTGGCAGTTGGCACTAATAAAACAGCCGGTGGGGGACGGGCACTGACCTCTCCTGTTCTCCCCAGCAGCTGCCGGACTGGCACCTCTCGCTGGCGCTGATTCATTTGCCTTCAAAACCCAGCCCCACCCCAAACAATCTGTGCTCAGAGCCTGACTCTGCCTGGGGACCACGCAGACCCTGGGGGCAAAGGCCCCCACAGATCGGGACCCCCAGCAGCCGGGGCCGTTTGAAATGCTGATCCAGCATCTGTACCATGGGCTGAGCCAAACCTGAGAGGACACCTTGCATCCAGCGGCTAGCAGCCAAGCCTGGCCAGCCGTCCGGCAGCATCGTGCACCCTGGCGCAACCCAGCCCTCTCCCAGCCGCTCGGGGGCACCCTGCAGGAGAGGGGGTTCCCCCTTGGCGGACGCGTGGTGGCAATTCCAGCCGTGGAGTGCATGGGGCTGAGGGCAGCAGCCCCGGTCCAGTTGAAGGTGGTGTGGCTCATGGCCCCTGACCACTGTGGGGGCTGCGGGCTGGAGCTAGGCGGGCTGGGCTGGAGCCTCCCTGTGGCTCCAAGGCTGCTCTTGCTGCTGGGGGGCCCTGAAATCGCTGCATCGGGTCCCTGAGTTTCCGTGGGGCTTCTGCTGCTGCGTGGGCACGTTGGGAGCTCGCGCTGCCCTCGGCCCGGGTCCCTCTGATCCTTCCAGGGTCTGGTCTGTCGAGATTAGTGGAGATCTGCTGGGCCATGCTGCCTTGCCAAGGCATGCTGCTTGCTTCCCCTCTTGGCTGGGGGGGGGCTGAAGCTGGAGGGGGCTGAAGCTGGCCGGGGGCTGAGTGCTGCTGTGCACCCCTTGCCTGGGGAGCTCTGGGAGGGACGTACCGTCCACACCCGGGGGCAGCCCCAGCTGAGGGACTGTGGAGGTGCTGCTCATGGGGCTGGTACAGCGGGGTTCCCCTGGCCTGGCCACCCTCTGGCTTCTCTCTCGCGGGAGTTCGAGGGGTTCTGGCCTCTGCTTGGAGCTGGGTGGGGTTGGGCCCGGGTGTGACTTGGGGGGTGGGGGCCCGGCTGGCTCTAGGCAGGGAGAATATTGTGACAGGCCCAGCCCCCCTAACCCTTCTCCCCCTCCCCAGAGGTGCTGATCAAAGTCCAGGTGTATGAGAACAGCGACCTCTCCCCACTGGCCCAGGCCGCCGTGGAGGTGTATGGGAACCACACGTCGCTGGCCTCGGGCTCCACCGACCATGAGGGCGTCGGGATGCTGCCCGTCAGCTACCGCCTGGGCACCTGGATCCTGGTCACCGCTGCCAAGCGTGGTTTCGTCACCAACTCTGTGCCCTGGCGGGTCGACAAGCTGCCGTGTGAGTGCTGCTGGGCGCCGGGCATTGGGGCGGGGGACTGGGGAGTTTGGGGACACTCCCTCCGTGGGCTGGTAGTTTGCAGACACCCTGGGATTTGGGGACAGCCCCTTAGCTGGTCGTCCCCCCCCAACAGAGGGAGGAGGGGGGCAGTGGGCACATCACAGCCCCTGGGCTGTATGGGGTGTATTGGGCTGGGAGGGGATGAGGGCTGGCACCAGGTTAATAATACAGCAGCGGGAGGGGCTGATGGGGGTAAGAGGGGCAGAGACACCCCCTGGGGAGAGCACGGGGCTGGGGGGGCAGAGCTCTGCTCCTAGTGCGGGGCTCTGGGGGAGGGGAGGAGCTGCGGGGGAGGGGGAGAATAGTTTCCAGTTCCTGACACCTGCAGGTGCTCCGGGAAGGGTGGCCCCCTGTCTCCCCCCCATCCCTGTGGTGGTGCCTGGGACCCCCCTGCCCTGTCCCCAGGGAGATCCCGTCCCTGGTCAGGGCTGGGGGGGGTCAGCGTTAGCCTGGGCTCTGTGCCAAGCAGCAGCTGCCCGCAGGCCGCGTGTTGACGAGGTGCAGACAGGACGGTGGTGTGGGGCCGCTCGCTGCAGAGGCTCAGATGGGGTCGATAGGGGTGACTTTACTGCAGGCAGTGGGATGACCTCACGCGGACGTCAGTGCCCCCAGCTGGATGTGCGTGGGAGGGCCCATGGGCAGGGGGCTGTCTGCAGCCTGGGGGGGAGCAGTGGGGCGGTGTGTGCATGGGGGGTGTGCGCAGCCTGGAGGAGGCATGTGGGGGGCGGGTGTTTGCGGGGCCAGAGGGGAGGAGTGCGGGGAGGATCTGGGGGGCAGGTGTGTGTATGAGACAGGGTACTGCCCCACACTGGAGGGGCTCAGTGGGTGTGGTGCAGTGGGTGCATGTGAGCAAGCTCTTACCCAGCTAATTAGAGCAGCTCCCCGTACCCCTTCCGCCCTGGGTACCAGCTGCCAGCTCCACCTTCCAGTGCGGGATCCCCCCCTGCACCCAGCTGGGCCCCCCCTCACTCCACTGGGGTGGGTGGGGCAGAGGGGCTGCGGCTGTAGCATCTCCCTGGGCAGAGCTGGGTGCTGGGTGTGTAATTCCTGGGCACAGCTGCCCCTGGGGTTGTAGCTGGCACCATCTGTCTGACACCCTCCCTGCTCCCCCCCCCACAGCGCTCCCAGCAGAGCTGGGCTATTTATACAGATCCCCCCATCCCCCCCGCCAGCTGCTGTGTCCCAGGTTATTTTAGGAAGAGCTGGAGGGGTGTGACTGTGGGGGGGTGCCACCCCAGGAGGCCCCCTGTCCCCCACCTCTCTCTGCCCTTCACTGTGAGGGGTTGGCTGCTTTTACTTTGGGCTATGCCTGGCCCACGGTGTGGCTCTGACAGGGGCTTCCAGCGGCCCATCCGTCTCTGTGTCAGGTGCCAGAGTCATTAGCGATGCTCTGCCAGGTGTCTGCTCTGTGCCAGGTTCTCCGCTCCGTGGGTGGGTGCCAGGCTCCCCTCCCCCAGCAACACATGCCCCATTCCCAGTGCATTCTCCCGCTGCCCTGCCCCACTGCGTTGCAGCTGCTGTGCCCCGCGCCTCTCGCCTGTTGCTCACATGCCCTGTGTCTGTCCGGTCCCTCTGCAGTGTATGCCTCGGTCAGCCTGTACCTGCTGCCGGAGCGGCCCGCCACCCTCATCCTCTATGAGGACTTGGTGCAGATCTTGCTGGGATCACCAGGTGAGGCCCGTGACTCGCCAGCCCCTTCCCTGTGCATGGGAGGCCGTGGTTAGAGCAGGTGACGGGGAGCCAGGACACCTGGGTTCTATTCCTTTCTGTACCACTGCCCTGTGCGGGACCTAGGGCCAAGTCACTGTCCCTCTGCCTGGACAATGGGGGAGACCCCCCCGCCTCCAGGATTCACCAGGGAGGTGCTGCAGCACCAAATGTTACCCGCTCCCCCTGGCCTTGTGCAGGGGAGCAGGAGGGGCCTGTGGCTGTCTGAACCTGCCCATCTGGGCTTTACCCTGGAGGGCAGCGGGTGGGGCATATGGGCCAGGTGGCTTGGGTCGCTGTGGCCCTCAGCCAGCCCCGGCCTGCCCATGCCCCACCTAACGTAGCCCAGAGGCAGCAGGGAGGGCTCTGGGGACGGGAGGTGGTTGATTTTAAGCCCCCAATGATATTGGTGTTGGCTGCGTGCCCCTGCTACCCTCTCACTGGGGGGCGGACGTGCCCTCCAAGGTGCGTGGCAGGGGCTCTGGGGCCGGGAGCTGCACGTGTACTCTCACCATGGCTCAGGCTGTGTCCTTGTGGCAGGCTGGGCGAGAGGCGGCTGACACGCCTGGCTGTCTCTGGCAGGGGCCTGGATTCCCTCGCCTGGCTGGCTGGGGCTCGGAGCTGCCACTGCAGCCGGTTAGTGGCCTGCCGGCCGCCCCTTGAGAGCAAGCTGCCCGCCAGCCACCGCCCGCCATCGTCACAGCCCAGGCAGGGGTTGGAGCTTGGCCCCCGGTCCCGGAGGGCCCCTTGTGCTTTGGCCGATCTCCGCGGAGACCCCGCTGGGCGCCGTGTCTGGGGCTGAGGGGAGACACCCTGGACAGGTCGCTGGGGCGGGAGGCTGGCTCCCTTCAGCGAGGCAGCGACCGTGGGGAGTTCCCGGCTCGCCCTTTGCCAGGGGGTGAGGGGCACGCGCACAGGAGGGGCGGGGAGAGGCTGCCATCTTGGCGGGCAGCCTGCCCCGGCCCTGCGCGCGAGGACTACAATGGAACCATGGGTGCTGCAGAGCCCATGAGGCTGGCTCGGGCCTGGGGCACCCTGGGGTCCCGCCGAGGCTCTGACCGGGCAGGGCACGGGCTGCAGGGCGAGCCTAGTGCTTCATGCCCATTGTCGTTGCAGGGGCCAAGAGCCAGCCATGGGTGCAGTTCCAGCGCAAGGCGGCCCGCCTGCCCCGCAGCTCCACCTACAGCCAGCTCTCCGCCTCCCTGACGGCCGCCAGCGGAGCCCACGACATGCGGGGCTTCCCCTCCTTCATCGGGGCCGAGAGCAACGGCAGCGGTACGGGGCCGGGGGGGCGGGGCGAGGGGCGAGGGAGGGGCTGGGGGGAGCAGGGATCGGGGCAGGGAGCAGTGAGCCCCTCTGACGGCCTCCTCCCCTCCCAGCCAACAGCACCTGGCTGGAGCTGGTCCCCATCGCCGCCGTCAGCGTCCATCTCTTCACGGGCAACGGCACCGAGGTGCAGCTGTCGGGCCCCGTGCACCTGTCCATCCCGCTGCCTCCCGACTCCGGAGCCACCACGGCCACCAGCGTGCCAGCCTGGAGGTTCGACACCAAGAGCGGTAAGGGCCAGCAGGTTGGGGGGCAGGGCCAGGCTGGGCATGATCTGGGGATTGGGGGGCAGGGCCAGGGCCAGGCTGGGTGCCCCGTTGATCTGGGACTGGGGGGCAGGGCCAGGCTGGGCGCCCTGTTGATCTGGGGCTGGGGGCGGGGGGAGGCCAGGCCAGGCTGAGTGCCCTGGAGGTTTGGGGGACCCACATGAGTGGTGAGTTTGGGGGGGTCTCAGCCTGGCTCCCAGTCACTGGCTGGAGGAGGTGCTGGGGATCCCCGCTGGCTCTGTACCAGCGTTTCAGCATGGGGGTGGGCCAGCCCATGGGCATGCCACACATCGGCATGGGACGGGGGACTTGGGGATGGCAGGTGTCAGACTGATGCTGCGTTTCCCTCCCCAGGAAACGCTGCTGGCTGGGGGGTGAGGGCCCAGCATTGGGATCCCATTGAATTAACAGACTGGGGCACAGAGAGTGTCTCACCCCCAGTCCGGCTGCTCCGCATGCCAGCCCCCTCCCACCCTGTGGCCACAGGGCACCTCCACGAAACTGCCTCAGTGGCAATAAAGCACCATTAGGCCCCAGGCTCGTGGGAGAATGGCAGCGTGGGAGGGGGTAGGGGGCCACAGGATTGCGGGGGAGGCTCTGGCCCAGAGACCTGCTGCTCTCCTCCATGATGCAGCCAGAAGCAGCCAGAACTTATCATGGGCTCTTCTGCCAGCCAAGGCCCCTGTATCGACCCTCGACCAGGGAACCTGGCTCCAGGGATGCCCCTGCCTGTGACAGGCTGCCTGGCAGGGAGGAGTAGAAGGCTTGGAGGGAGGGAGCCTGCCACCTGTGGGAGGCCTTGGCTCAAACCCAGTTTGGGTCACAAGTGAACCGAGTGTGGGGATCTCAGCCTGGTCCTATGGAGTGGATGTTCGGAGTCCAGAAGGTGGGGGTGAGAAGGGAGCAGCAGGGGGCTGCAGGAGAGGATTGAGGGGCAGGGGGTCGGCAGGGCAGGACTAGGGTATTAGCAGAGCTGGGGGTTGGCGGGGCGGGACCCTGGGGCAGTAGCAGAGCTGGGGATGGCAGGGCGGGACCCTAGGGCAGTAGCAGAGCTGGGGTCGGCGGGGCGGGACCCTGGGGCAGTAGCAGAGCTGGGGATGGCAGGGCAGGACCCTGGGGCAGTAGCAGAGCTGGGGATGGCAGGGCAGGACCCTGGGGCAGTAGCAGAGCTGGGGGTCGGCGGGGCGGGACTCTGGGGCAGTAGCAGAGCTGGGGGTCGGTGGGGCGGGACCCTGGGGCAGTAGCAGAGCTGGGGATGGCAGGGCAGGACCCTGGGGCAGTAGCAGAGCTGGGGATGGCAGGGCAGGACCCTGGGGCAGTAGCAGAGCTGGGGGTCGGCGGGGCGGGACCCTGGGGCAGTAGCAGAGCTGGGGGTCGGCGGGGCGGGACCCTGGGGCAGTAGCAGAGCTTGGGGTCGGCGGGGCGGGACCCTGGGGCAGTAGCAGAGCTGGGGATGGCAGGGCAGGACCCTGGGGCAGTAGCAGAGCTGGGGGTCAGCGGGGCGGGACCCTGGGGCAGTAGCAGAGCTGGGGGTCGGCGGGGCGGGACCCTGGGGCAGTAGCAGAGCTGGGGGTCGGCGGGGCGGGACCCTGGGGCAGTAGCAGAGCAGGGGGTGGCAGGGCAGGACCCTAGGGCAGTAGCAGAGCTGGGGGTCAGTGGGGCGGGACCCTGGGGCAGTAGCAGAGCAGGGGGTGGCGGGGCGGGACCCTGGGGCAGTAGCAGAGCTGGGGATGGCAGGGCGGGACCCTAGGGCAGTAGAAGAGCTGGGGGTCGGCGGGGCGGGACCCTGGGGCAGTAGCAGAGCTGGGGATGGCAGGGCAGGACCCTGGGGCAGTAGCAGAGCTGGGGATGGCAGGGCAGGACCCTGGGGCAGTAGCAGAGCTGGGGGTCGGCGGGGCGGGACTCTGGGGCAGTAGCAGAGCTGGGGGTCGGCGGGGCGGGACCCTGGGGCAGTAGCAGAGCTGGGGATGGCAGGGCAGGACCCTGGGGCAGTAGCAGAGCTGGGGGTCGGCAGGGCAGGACCCTGGGGCAGTAGCAGAGCTGGGGGTCGGCGGGGGGGGACCCTGGGGCAGTAGCAGAGCTGGGGGTCGGCGAGGCGGGACCCTGGGGCAGTAGCAGAGCAGGGGGTGGCAGGGCGGGACCTAGGGCAGTAGCAGAGCTGGGGGTCAGTGGGGCAGGACCCTGGGGCAGTAGCAGAGCAGGGGGTGGCGGGGCGGGACCCTGGGGCAGTAGCAGAGCAGGGGGTGGCAGGGCAGGACCCTGGGGCAGTAGCAGAGCTGGGGATGGCAGGGCAGGACCCTGGGGCAGTAGCAGAGCTGGGGGTCGGCGGGGCGGGACCCTGGGGCAGTAGCAGAGCTGGGGGTCGGCGGGGCGGGACCCTGGGGCAGTAGCAGAGCTGGGGATGGCAGGGCAGGACCCTGGGGCAGTAGCAGAGCTGGGGATGGCAGGGCGGGACCCTGGGGCAGTAGCAGAGCTGGGGGTCGGCGGGCGGGTACCTGGGGCAGTAGCAGAGCTGGGGGTCGGCGGGGCAGGACCCTGGGGCAGTAGCAGAGCTGGGGATGGCAGGGCAGGACCCTGGGGCAGTAGCAGAGCTGGGGGTCAGCGGGGCGGGACCCTGGGGCAGTAGCAGAGCTGGGGGTCGGTGGGGCGGGACCCTGGGGCAGTAGCAGAGCTGGGGGTCGGCGGGGCGGGACCCTGGGGCAGTAGCAGAGCAGGGGGTGGCAGGGCGGGACCCTGGGGCAGTAGCAGAGCTGGGGGTCAGCGGGGCGGGACCCTGGGGCAGTAGCAGAGCAGGGGGTGGCGGGGCGGGACCCTGGGGCAGTAGCAGAGCAGGGGGTGGCAGGGCAGGACCCTGGGGCAGTAGCAGAGCTGGGGATGGCAGGGCAGGACCCTGGGGCATGAGCAGAGCAGGGGGCAGAGCTGGAGGTCAGGGGAGGCTGTTAATGAACATGGATCCCGCATTGAGCACCAGCTATCAGCCCCACGACGGGCGTGGTGCCGTCGAGACAGCTGGTTCACAATCGATCTTTCTAAGTTCTCTAAAACCGACACAGTGGGATTGTTGGGAAGCTGGTGCCTCCGGAGGGGGCGTGGTGGGGCTAGTGACTCAGATTTGGAGTCATCTGAGTTGGGGGGGCTGGAGATATTACTCCCCGTTCCCATCCAGAAAACCAAACTGTTGCTGTGACTGTGGATTAGAGCGGTCTCCGTCCACCGAGGATTACCGGGGTGGGGAGGTGCATGGCTCCCTGAAATCTTTGGGGGCCCAGGCTGAGAAGAGGAGTTACACGGATGTACGTTTTTACACTATGCGGGTGCCCAGACAGAAAACCGGCTTGAGATTTCCACTCCCATCTTTTTACACGCTCTTTCCTGCTCTAAACCCAGAACGGTTAGTCAAACTGCTTTGGATTGAGGGGGCCTCCTGGGCGTGGGAGTAGCATTAGTGATCCAGATTGGCCGTCATTTGACTGAGTTCCAAACCAGTTGCCTTCTGCAGCCCTGGGGTGTTACCGGAGCCATGCCACTGCCAGAGCTGGCTGAGATTGATGGCTGCAAACCCCCCCTTCAATTAACACACCTGAGGACGAGTGAATCCCTGCCCCTCACCTCAGGCAAAAGGCATTTGGGGCTGAGGGCAGCAGGTCGAAATGGTGTGTGAGTCCTGGGGGGGCAGGTTTAGTTTTGGGGGGTGGAATCAGAGCCTTTGGGGGCAAAATGAGACGCGTGGCTGCTTCCTGGGAGGAGGGGGGATGGGGGGAGAGGGGTTTGGGGCTGCAGCAAGGAGCAGGGTGGAGGGGGAGGGAAGCTAGGGCGCGCGGAGGGGTGGGACAATGGGAAGGGGTGTGGGGTGATTGGTACAGGGCCGGGGGGGGAGAGTTGGGGCAGGGGCCTCTGTCAGGCCCACATTCTCCCGTCCCATGTGTGTGCCCAGCTCTGGGGGGTTTTGCCCTACCAAGAGGGTCCGTGTCCCCCAGGAAAGAAAAGAGGCTGGCCATGCCCCGCGCCCTGTGTTCTCCAGGGGGTGACAGGAGGCAGCGGGCGTCGGTGGGCCAGGTGCCCCCACAGTGCGTGGCACCGGCTGCAGCTGGCCCTGTGGTTTGCTCTGAGGATGTGTGAGGTGTGGGACTGAGCTGGGACTAGATAGGAGCATGGGGAAGCGGTGCTCAGGTGTATTCAGGCTGCACTGTTCCTTTGGCGGTGGGTGTGGGCAGTCGGTAGCAGGGCAGAGGCTCTTCGAACAGCTACCATCTGCAGCGAGGGGGCCGTGGCAGGTGCCCGTGGTCGGTAGGTGATGGTGCAGGGCACACGGGGGAACCGAGGTAGTGTCCGGGACTCATCTGAGGCTGGCAGGTGGCTCTGGGGTTGGGCCCATGGTCTGTCCTTTCCAGTGACCTAGCTCTGTGTGAGCTTTCGTGGGCTCCAGTCGCGTCAGGCGGATGCTGTGGTGAAGGGGATGGGCTGCATATTGAGATGAATGGGGGGCAGAGTAAAGGGGGATGTTACAGGGCATTGCTGAATGAGGGCAGAGTTAAGGTTGCATGGGCAGCCCTACTGCTGCATTTCCTGCTTTTCACACGTCTCAGTTGGGCTCGGCTCAGCGTCCTGCCATCAGTGTGTTGCCACTGAATTTCTCTTCAGCTCCAGCCTGGGGCACAGAGAGAAGCCTGCCACGTCCTAGTGAGCCAAGGCTGCAGGAGCCAGCGCCATCAGGGGGTAGCGTTGTGATGGACTCATTCCTCAGGGAGGAGAGGCCTGAGGAGCCCTTGAGTAGTTGAAGGAAAGAGGATGTAATCTGGGGAACTCTCTGCTGCAGGATATTGTTGGATCCAATAATGGAGAGCAAGGTTCAAACAGGGGAACAGAAATCCCCTCGGCGAGACTCTTCACCCTCATGCTCCAGGGCATGGGCTGGGACAGGAACTGCCCCACCCCTGGTCCGAGGATTGCGCAAGCACGGAGGTGGCTAGGGAACCGACTCCTTCCCCTGGGGCATCTGCTGGGGGCCATTGACAGAGGCAGGACACATTATGGCAGGAGAGGGGATTTGGGGTGAGGTGGGCTGGGGCCTGATCCAGCAGGGATGGTGCACAGCTACAGGGGAGACGGGCCAGTGGTCCCATCGTGTCTGGGTGCTGGGCCAGAGGGGCCGGTTCGCTCCCGGTTGACGCTGTTTTGTTGCCCCCAGGCCTGTGGCTCCGGAACGGGACAGGGCTGATCAGGAAGGAGGGTCGCCAGCTGTACTGGACATTCGTCTCCCCCCAGCTGGGGTACTGGGCTGCCGCTCTGCCCTCCCCCACCACAGGTGAAGCAGCTGCCTCCAGCCTCCCCACCGCAGGGGAAGGGTCCAGGGCTGGGAGCCGTCTGGCCAACAGAGCAAGTAATGGGGAGGCAGGAAGCAGGGCCCCGTGGGCAGGCCCGGCCTGGACCCTTCCTTCCAGCTGTCGCTGCCGTGTCCAGACCAGGCGTTGTTCCAATGGGCTCCCAGGCAGAGCAGCCCCCAGGCCACAAAATCCTGAGGTGGGTCAGTCCTGGCCCCCATCCCTGCACTGGAGCCAGCCGACACCCCTGGCTGGCCCCATGGGGAGCCTCATGGCTCTAGCCCTGCGGGCTTCTCCAGGGTGTGGGGGGCCCCTTTCTGGGGCAGGCCCTGGGGTGCCCTGCACGGGGCCCCCAGCCGGAGCAGAGCCTTTCTCAGGCAGCCCCTGTGGACCTTGGGCCTGGCTGGGAGCAGCTTAGCTGCTGGCGGGGGGAAGGGGCGGGAGCGAAGGGCGCCAGGAAGGCAGCAGCCCCCAGGGGAGCAGCTGGTCTGAACCTTGGTGCTGCGGATGCCACTCAGGCAGCAGCTGGGAATGCCAGCTCCCTGCCCTGGGCATTGCTCAGTGCCTGGCAGGGGGTGGGCACCCGGGATGGATCCGTTCCCAGGGTGCTCACTTCTGGAGGGGCTGGGCCCCCCACCTGTGAAATGGGGAGCCTGTGCTTGGCCAGCTGCTCGCTGGGCGGGGTGGGGAGTGCTGGCAAAGAACGGGGACGCCTCAGGCTCTTGCCCCACAGAGCAGGCAGGGCCGGGCACGCTGCTGCTCCGTTCCTGGGATGGGAGGGCCTGGAGGCCCTGGCCAAGAGCCACGTCCTTCCGCACCGGGTGCTGCGGACCCAGGACAGCCCCTCCCCAAAGAGGACGAGCGGGATTGGGGGAGGGGAAATGGCGCCGGGGGCAGGAGTGCCTGGTCCAAGGGCACCCAGAGCTGAGGCTGGACCCCAGGTGTGCCGACGGCAGGGCCCAGCCGGGTCCCCCTTACGGCCGCCTGCCCGTCTCGCCCCCCCGGGCCTCAGCCCCTCCGGAAGCGGGGAGGAAGCAGCTGGCCAGGCAGGCCCATGGGGGAAGGAGAGGTGCTGTGCTCGGGGAGCGGTGTTCCCGGGCCTGTCTCTGACCCGCCGCTGCCTGCCCCCCTAGGGCTGGTGGCGCTGGCGACGGGGATGAGGGACATCACCGCGTACCACACCGTCTTCCTGCTCACCATCCTGGGGGCGCTGGTGCTGCTGGTGCTGAGCCTGCTCTGCCTGCTCATCTACTACTGCCGGTGAGGCTCCCCCGCCAGGGGCCCTGCCCACGGCCGGGCAGGGGCCAGGGCTCCGGAGGAAGCAGCGGGTGGCGGGTGGATGGAGGGGCCAGCTTGCCCTGCCGCTGTAGGTCCCGGGCCCTGGCAGAAGCCGAAGCAGGGAGGGTGGAGGGAGGCCGCCGTGGGCATTGTGTGGCTGGCACCAGGGCAGTGGGGGCGGGGATAGATGCAGGAGCCCAGCCCCCAACCTGGCTTGCACCCCCACGCATCCTCCTGGCCCTTCCCAGCTTTGATCTCTGTGCCCCACGGGGGGCCCGGGGGCCAGCTCCAGGCCTGGCTCAGCCCCCTGCCCTGCCCAGCTCCCTCCCTCGGGCTTTGAGCTCCCCTCGGGGCGGGCAGCTCTGTGCTGGCCCAGGGAGCCTGCGGCGGGGCGCTGGTAACCGGGTCCTGTCTCCCCAGGCGGAGGTGCCTGAAACCCCGACAGCAGCACAGAAAGCTGCAGCTGCCCGGGCCGCTGGACACCTCGAAGCGAGACCAGGCCACCTCCATGTCCCAGCTCAACCTGATCTGCACCAGCCACCTGGAGACCGCCTCCTCGGCCGGCGACACCGACGCACACACGCCCATCCTCAAGTCGGCCTTCTCCAGCTCCCGCGAGCTGGGCAGCTCCCGCGAGGAGTTCTTCCGCCACAAGCTGCGGCATGTCAGCAAGGCCTCCACGGAGACGCTGAGCCAGCGGGGCGCCCCCAAGGAGGAGTACCCGCGCCCCGGGGAGAGCTTCTCGCTCAAGGCCGCGCGCTCCGTGGACGGCCCGGGTGTGCTGGAGCCCCCCGTGCTGGAGGAATACAAGCGCGGCTTCTCCCACCAGCGCGTGGAGGACAAGGGCGCCGAGCCGCCACGGAAGCACTCGAGGAACGAGAGCAAGCCCTACCTCCAGGAGCCGCCCTCCCCGCCGCCCCTGCCGCCCCCCTTCGACCACTATGTGGGCCACAAGGGGGAGCCCAAGCCCCCCGACTTCATGCTGTCGCAGTCCGTGGACCACCTGGCCAGGCCCACCTCGCTCACCCAGCCGGGGCAGCTCATCTTCTGCGGCTCCATTGACCACATGAAGGACAGCGTGTACCGCAACGTCATGCCCACCTTGGTCATCCCAGCCCATTACATGCGCCTGGCGTCGGATTACCCCTCCGGGGAGCAGGCCCTGGCCGGCCCAGCGGAGAGCCAGCCCGAGATGGAGGGGCTGCCCGGCCAGGCTGGGATGACCATCCCGCACCAGTTCGGGCCCCAGGACCAGCAGCGGCTGCAGCTCCAGCAGGGCGAGGACTCGGAGGGCAAGGGCTGGGGGGCACACTCCTCCTCGGTCAGCGGCTCTGTCACCATCCCGGTGCTGTTCAACGAGTCCACCATGGCCCAGCTGAACGGGGAGCTGCAGGCGCTGACGGAGAAGAAGCTGCTGGAGCTGGGGGTGAAGCCCCACCCGCGGGCCTGGTTCGTCTCCCTGGATGGGCGCTCCTCCCAGGTGCGCCACTCCTACATCGACCTGCAGGGCAGCGAGAAGGGCCGGAGCAATGACGCCAGCCTGGACTCGGGCGTGGACGTCCACGAGGCCAAGCCCCACAAGCGGGCCAAGGAGGAGCGGGAGCGGCCCCCGGCCCCCGCCGCCTACTCCAAGCTGGCGTTCCCCGAGGACCCGGAGCAGAGCAGCAGCGAGAGCCGCACGGCCATCTGCTCCCCCGAGGACAACTCCCTGACGCCCCTGCTGGACGAGGCGGCCGAGGCCCGGGCCGCCACGATCCCCCGCCGGGGCCGCAGCCGGGGCACCAGCTCCCGCAGCAGCGCCAGTGAGCTGCGCCGGGACTCCATGACCAGCCCCGAGGATGAGCTGACCGACCCGGCCGAGGGCGCCGACGAGCCGGGCGACAAGAAGAGCCCCTGGCAGAAGCGCGAGGAGCGCCCCCTCATGGTCTTCAATGTGAAGTAAGCGGGGGGGGGCCTGCGCCCGCTTCCCCTGCCCCCTGAGCCAGCCCCAGCCCCTGGGGGGCAGAGGAGGGGGCGGGGCCGCATGCCGGATGGCTCCGCGCCCCCGAGGCGACTCCAGACCAGGACCCCAAAGACCCCCCGTCTTCTCCGCCTGAGGGCTGAGCTCTGTCGGGGAGCAGGGGAAGGGGGGACCCACACTGGCAGGCAGTGGGGCTGACCCCCAGGGCGGTCCGGATGCAGAACCAGTGACCTGCTCCCTCCTGCAGCCAGGCACTGCCCGTTGTGCCCCCCGCCATTCGCGGGACGGCCCAGAGCGGGGAGGAGAGGCTGTGGCAGCGGGACGATCTCCCCACCACCAGGATCACGTGTCGAGGCTGCTGCCCGCCTGGCCCCGAGGGAGGGGTGACTCGAGGACTTAGGAGGCCCCCTACCCCCGCTCTAGGCTCAGCGGGCAGAGTGAAGGGATTGAGTCCGGGCGGGGGGGGCAGGGCCTGGGCAGCCTGGCCCAGCCCATTTCCGAGCCCACTCTCCGGGTAGCCTGGGCAGACCATCCAGGGGAGACGGCTGCTCCGCCCCCGTGACACCCGGCCGGAAGGGGTTAACAGCAGCCTGCTGGCGGCTGTACAGCTCTGGGGCGCTGTCCAGCCCCACACCTCGCCTGGGGAAAAGCAGAGCCCAGCTGCGCTCCTAGGGCACGGCCGCCCTGGGCGCTGCCAGAGGAACCTGACCCTCGTCGGCGTCTCTAACGTTCCCGCCAAACACCCTGGGGCTGCAGAGTCTCCTCCGGCCCCAAGGTGCCAGTCGCGGGCCACTCCCCACCCTCTCCTCCAAGTGCCTTTGCGCTGCAGGGCGCGTGGCACAGCTGGGCCCTGCACACAGAGCTGGGAGCCGCCTAAATTCTCCTCGTTCCTAATCTGCTTTCGCCAGGCCGGCTGCTGCCTCCAGGGGGGTTGGGGGGTGGCAACATCCCACCGCGCAGGCTGGGAGCTGCCTGCAGGGCCAGGCTGGGTCCCCCCGCCCCCGGCCCTCGCGCCTGGCAGGGGATCAGCCAGCCCTACACTGTGTAACGGGCAGGAGACCGAGCCGGAGCGTAGGATCTCCCCACGCCCGGGCTGTGGGGCAGGGCCCGGGAGGCTGTATTCTCGAGGCACTTCCCACTGCACCCACTCGCGCCGCCCTGGGGTGCAGATGCACTTGGGCCGAGAAGCAGCTGCTGTCGGCCTCTGCACCCAGGCAGGCGCTAGCCAGGGTCGCTGTGGCAGAGAGAGGGGGTGCTGCTAGGAGGTGGGGGGATCCCTCGGGAATAAAACACCCACCTGTGGCTTTTACTTTCACCTCTTAGTGTCTTTTTGCCCTGTGTCTGCTGCTGCCCCACCTGCGGGTGAGGGAGGCTTCCAGCCCCCGTGCCTCTCTCGGGCCTGCGCCCAGGTGGAGGGTTGGTGTGTTGTGCCCATCACTCCTGCCGGCTGCGGTCGCCTTCTCAGCTGGGGCCTGGAGCCTGTTTGTGTCCTGTATCCACTCTCCCCTTGAAGTGGGATGGACTGTGCTTTTTGGGGCATCATTTGCCTGTGGAACTCCTTGCCACTACCTCCCTAGGCTTGACAAGGGGGAGATGTCTCTACAGCCGCCAGGCCTGTCATCCAGTCCCTGCAGCATGCGGGCAGGGCCCAGCACTGGGGCTCTTCCACCATCATCTGGCCATGGGCATGGCTGGAGGCCCGGGGGGTGGCAGGCTGGGGGTCACGGGAGCTATATTCTACTCAGGGGTAGAATACATAACCAGCTTCTAGCCCCAGGCAGCTCCCAGCATGTTGGGGCTGTCCATGTTACAGAGCGAGGGGCGGGGGCTGATCCCAGCCAGTTCCCTCGAGTGTCACAGCAGGGGCCCTGTTCGGCAACTGCCTGCTGCAGGGAACTAGCATGGGCAGCACCCCCCCCCTTGGGGGATTGGAGGGGGCTTGGTCAGGCTTGACAGCTGACTCTCCACAGCATGAGTGTGCACCCCACGATGGACACAGGGAGCTCTAAGCCCCCCACCCATCCCACCACCAAGAGCAGCTCCAGGCTGGGGCCGTGCAGGCCCCCATGCTCCTTGTTCCTAGAACACCAGCCTCTGACCCACAGGGGTGGGCAGCAGTGGAAGCTGGGCTCAGGCCCCCCTGGTTTGCTTGGATTTTAATGTTGGTATTTCTGAAATTCTCTCTGAGGCGAGAGGAGAGCTGTGACTGTGCCCGGACCCTGTCAACTCTCCCACTGGCAGAGGCCCATGGGCAGCCTGGCACGGATCTGTGCCCTGGCACCTACCCTTCAGCCCACAGGTTGCACAAGAAACCCCCTGAGTTTTATCCAGGGAGCGAGGCTGGGGCCAGCTTGGCCTGTGGGGCCCCCCCTCCCCCGTGTGTTCTCTAGAATGGCATTAATATATAAAACCCTTCAACTCCTGCCCGTGTCCGGCTGGTTCCTCCATGCATGCGGTGCCGCGAGCCTGCTGCCTGCCAGCTCCCAGCTGCTGGTGAGCAGCTGCGCAATGCTAGCCCAGGCCTGTTTCCGCTCCAGGCTGGGCCCACACAGCTCAGTGGCGGTCACTGCAGAGTAGCCTGGAACTCACTCAGTGCAAGCAAGAGTGTTGGGGTGCAAGGCCTGCTGGAATGCAAGAGCCTGGAGCTGGGCCCCCCCAGCAGCTTGGTACAGCTGGGAGGGGAGGCAGGCAGCCAGTGGGTGGCTGTGCAATGCTGCTCTGGAGCTCACATGGGTGCTGGCAGTCAGCACAGCAGCTGGCCCATTGACATTAAAGCAAATCTAGGCTCAGAGTAACACCTGGCAGCTGCCCAGGGGAGGGGGGCAGGCAGTTTTGTGCCATTCTCCTGCAAAGCAGAACCATGGAGCAGCCGCTTTGCACCCGTTCAGTGCCCAGGGCAGGCAGTGGGCCCATGCCTCGGGCCCAGCTGGGCCATTACAGCACCCCTGCTGGACCAAGGCCCCCATCCTGCCACACTGCAGCAGTGGGGACTGGCGCTCCCCCCTGGGCTGGATGGGCCACAGCTGCATGCCAGGAGGGACAGCACTGGAGGCCAGCTGTGTTACAGGGAAGAGAAGGGAGGACAAGGCTGGGCCCTGGAGTCCAGGCTGGGGTGAGCGGGGAGATGTGCACGCTGGTGGCACAGTCCCCTTGGCTGGGGGAAGTTTTGCAGAGGGAAGGAGACAGGATTGACACCAGCACCGTCCTCCACACCCTTTATTGGTTCTCACTCTCTTCCAGCCACTTCAACCCTAATGGCACCAGGTACTGGGCCCCTGTTCCTGGCACAGGCCCCAGCCACAGGTGGGGCACTCTTAGAGGCAAGGGAGCTGGTGACCAGAGGGCATGGTGCCAGTCTGGCCCTGGGCTCTCGGGGCAGCTGTGAGGGGGGCAGGGGCTGGGCAGGCAGCAGAGACTCCTGGCACTGGGGGGCTAGAAAAAGGGCATGTCCATCCCTGGTGCCCAGCAGACACAGTGCAGGCACGAGCTCAGGGCAACGCACATTCAGGGACTGGGGTAGGAGAGTGCCAGGAGCCAGACTGCAGTGCCCACCTTCCAGCCTTCCCAGCCCCGGCTTTCACAGGCAGCACAACAGGACCCAGGGAGGGGCCCGAGTGCCAGGGAGAAATGGGGGGAGACACAGATGCCAAGGGGGGCTGTAGAAAGCAAAGCAGCCCAGCCACCTTGCTCTTCAACCCAGGTTCCCAGGCCCTACTGCAGCCCCTAGCTCCCAACAGTGGGGGAGGAGGGCCTGGCCTGGCCCGGCCCAGCCTCAAGGCCCCCACAGAAGGAGAAGAGCCTGGAGTGGGGTGGGAGCCTTAACCTTCCAAGCTCCCAGCAGGAAAGCAGCACTGGGAGCAGAGGACGAAGCTGCATGTGCCCAGACCGCTGTGTCCAGGGTTAGACTCCCGTGGCGGGGGTGCTCTCCCATGTGCTTAGCCCCAGGGGGCTGGGTGGGACAGGTCCTGCAGAGCATGGGGCCTGTGTGCCCTGGGGCAGCCAGAGAAAAGGCCCCCGAGGCTGGAAGTCAGACAGACAGACTGAGGGGCCAGAGCAATCCCCACTCCCCCCTCAGTGTGGGCACAGGGGTGCCCCCACAGGCACCTCACAGCAGCCAGGGGGCACCGGCGTCCCAGCGTGGAGGCCAGCGCCGCTTGCAGTCGAGGCTCGACCTGGAGCATCGGTAGCCCCAGGGACAGCAGTGGCGTTGGTCGGGGCAGCAGGAGCCCTGTGGAGAGATGAGGCATGTTACTGTCTGCTGGGGGCAGCCGGGCTGGAGCACAGAGGGGTCCCCCGGAGAGGGAGCAGCTGCCCTGCAGAGGGGGCAGGTCACAGAGTCCCCAACCTCCCCCGGTTCCCCTGCTAGGGGCCTGGCCCATAGAACGACCTCCAGCCCTGGTCGCTGGGGGCCGAGGCCTCAGCAGGCAGACAGGTGGGGGCCAGCAGCTGGGAGGGGCTGAGGTCCAGGGTCTGAGCAGGCAGCCGGCAGGAGGGGCTGGGCGGATGTTGGAGGCGTGAGAGGCAGGGCTCTGTGCTGCCCTGGGGCGGGCATCCAGCCCCCGCCCGTCGCTCACCATGAAGTAGGGGCAGCAAGCCCAGGTGCCCGAGGCAGCCTTGCAGCAGGTCTGGCGGGTGCGGCAGTAGTGCTGGGCGTCGCAGGTCACCTGGTTGCTGGGCTCCGGGCTGGCGGGCAGCAGGGAGGCGACGAGGCTCAGGGCCCCGGGCAGCACCCGCCCAGCCTGCTGCTTCTCACAGCTCTGCGTGGCCAGGTTGCAGGTGTAGCCCCCTGGGCAGCAGTGCTGGTGATCCTCACAGCACACAGCCTGGGGAGAGAGCGGTCAGCCAGCACCGAGCAGAGACAGAGCAGCCTGGCAGGGCTCACAGGGCGTCACCCAGGGCAGAACCCAGGCGTCCTGGCTCCTGACCCCTCCCACCGCCACTCTAACCCACCAGACCCCACTGCCCTCCCCACACACAGACTAACCCAGAGGGTTTCCAACTTTGTTTCTGGTGACCCAGTTGAAGAAAATTGTTGATGCCCGTGACCCACCAGAACTAGGGATGAGGGGTTTGGGAGGGACTCAGAGGGTTGGGGTGCAGGGGTGAGGGCTTTGGGGGAGCTCAGAGGCTTCCTGCCTCTCCTGGCACCGCGCTGCGCCCCGGGAGCGGCCAGCAGCCGGTCGGCTCCTAGGCGGAGGCGCGCAAGCAGCTCCATGCAGCTCTCGCCCACAGGCACTGCCCTCCCCCAGCTCCCATTGGCCGTGCACAGCCGCTGCTTGGGGGAGGGGCAGCAGGTGGAGCCCCGTGGCCCCCCCGCCTAGGAGCCGGACCTGCTGCTGGCCACTTGGGGGTGCAGCGTGGTGTCAACAGGTAGGCACTAGCCTGCCTTAGCCGGGCAGCATCACCAGTGGGACTGTTAACGGCCCGGTCAGTGGTGCTGACCAGAGCCGCCATGACCCAATGCCCGACATTCCATGACCCACTTCTGGGTCATGACCCAGTTTGAAAACCATTGCTCTAACCCACCGGACCCCACTCCCTTCCCAGAGCCAGGAAGAGAACCCAGGAGTCCTGGCTCACACCTTCTCTAAGCCCTGAAGACATCCTTCTTCAGGCCAAGGGGCGAGGTGGGGCACAGCGCAGCCGCAAGGCACAAACATGGCTGTGAGGAGCCAGGGCCTCACCTTGCCCCCGGCACCCCTTGGCACTGAAGAAGCCTGGCAGGGACACCTAGTGGCAGGGGTGGGCCGTGCACCTGCACGCCCAGGAGATGGGCACAGCCCCCCGCCCTGCCCTCACATTCGGCAGATGGCAGCAGGCCCAGGTGCCCGTCTCGCTCTTGCAGCAGGTCTGCCCGTCCTCGCAGCTGACTGTCTGGTTGCACTTCACACCTCTGCTCTGGGCGGCGCCAGGAACGTGTGCTGGAGCCTTGGGTGCCCAGGGCACAGAGAGCAGGGCCTGCTGGCAGCTGCCCCCCACCGGGTCGCACGTGTGTCCCTTGGGGCAGCAATGGACGTGGTCCTGGCAGCACACGGCCTGGGCGGGGGAAAGAGACAGCGCGCGTGACCACAACACGCATCTGCCCTTCCAACTCCTCCATTGGGCGCCCCCCATCCCCTCCCGCAGTGTGCCTGCCCCCCCAACCCCAACCCACAGGCCCACCACTCCCCTCCTCCGCTGCGCACCCCCCACAACACCAACCCGCAGCCCCACCACTCCGCTCCTCCGCTGGGGGCCCCCCAACCCGCAGCCCCACCACTCGCCTCCTCCGCTGGGGGCCCCCCACAACGCCAACTCGCAGCCCCACCACTCCCCTCCTCCGCTGGGCAGGACAGGGGGTGGAAGCTCAAGGGCTGCAGCCCCAGGGAGGGGGCCTGTAACCTGAGCCCTACCACCCTCAGGCTTTAGCTCAGGCCCATGGCCCCAGAAAGTCGAAGCCAGCCCTGGCAACCCCATTGAAACTGGTTCCCGACCCACAGTCTGAGAAGCACTGCTCCAAGACCTAAGCTAAGGGCAGCGCTGCCAGGGACAACCTCCCTCCGCTCCGCACCTCCGGCAAGGGGCAGCAGCCCCAGTCCCCGGTGGCCAGCCTGCAGCAGGTGCTGCCCTCAGGACAGCTGGTCTGCTCGTCGCACCGCACGTCTCGGCCAGCAGAGGGCGCTCGCACCCGCGCCGGGGTTTTCTCCAGCCAGGGGACGGGGGCGGCGGGCGGGTGGCAGCTGCCCCCCGCCGGGTCGCAGGTGTACCCCTTGGGGCAGCAATGGACGTGGTCCTGGCAGCACACGGCCTGGGCGGGGGGAGGAGACTCAGCATGTGTGACGACAACATCCACCCCCCACTTACTCTGCTGGACACCCCCAGCCCCGACCCCCACCACCGCCATCCACTGCTGCCCCCCCCCCCCAGCCCCGACCCCCAGCCCCACCACTGCCATCTCCACTGGGGGCCCCCCAGCCCTGACCCGCAGCCCCACCACTGCCATCCACTGCTGGCCCCCCCCCCACAGCCCCGACCCCCAGCCCTACCACCGCTATCCACGGCTGGGGGCCCCCCCCAACCCGACACACAGCCCCACCACTGCCATCCACCGCTGGGGACCCCCCCCAAACCCGACCCGCACCCCACCATTCCCCTCCTCTGCTGGGCATCCCCCCTTTTCGCTCCGCGCCCACCTCCTCCAGGGGGCAGCAGCCCCAGTCCCCGGTGGCCAGCCTCAGCAGGTGCTGCCCTCAGGACAGCTGGTCTGCTCGTCGCACCCACGTCTCGGCCAGCAGAGGGCGCTCGCACCGCCGGGGTTTTCTCCAGCCAGGGACGGGGCGGCGGCGGGTGCCCCCGCCGGGTCGCAGGTGTCCAATGGCGTGGTCCTGGAGCCCGGCCTGGGCGGGGGAGGAGATCAGCATGTGTGACGACAACATCCACCCCCCACTTACTCTGCTGGACACCCCCAGCCCCGACCCCCACCACCGCCATCCACTGCTGCCCCCCCCCCAGCCCCGACCCCCAGCCCCACCACCGCCATCCACTGCTGCCCCCCCCCCCCCCCCCCCCCCCAGCCCCGACCCCCAGCCCCACCACTGCCATCCACTGCTGGCCCCCCCCCCAGCCCCCCCCCAGCCCCCCCCCCCCCCCCCCCCCCCCCCCCCGACCCCCAGCCCCACCACCGCCATCCACTGCTGGCCCCCGCCCCCCCAGCCCCGACCCCCAGCCCCACCACCGCCACCCCGCCCCCCAACCCACACACACCCCACCACCCCATCCACTGCTGCCCCCCCCCCCCAGCCCCGACCCCCAGCCCCACCACCGCCATCCACTGCTGGCCCCCCCAGCCCCACCACCGCCATCCACCGCTGGGGGCCGCCTCCCCAAACCAGACCTGCAGCCACACCACCCCCATCCACTGCCCCCCCCCTCCCCCCCACCACTACCCCACTGGGGCCCCCCCAAACCCGACCCGCAGCCCCCATCCACCGCTGGGGACCCCCCCCCAAACCCGACCCGCAGCCCCACCATTCCCCTCCTCTGCTGGGCATCCCTCAGTGCCAACCGTGTCCTGTAGCCTGCGCTCCGACCCACCTCCTCCAGGGGGCAGCAGCCCCAGTCCCCGGTGGCCAGCCTGCAGCAGGTGTTGCCCTCAGGACAGCTGGTCTGCTCGTCGCACCGCACGTCTCGGCCAGCAGAGGGCGCTCGCACCCGCGCCGGGGTTTTCTCCAGCCAGGGGACGGGGGCGGCGGGCGGGTGGCAGCTGCCCCCCGCCGGGTCGCAGGTGTACCCCTTGGGGCAGCAATGGACGTGGTCCTGGCAGCACACGGCCTGGGCGGGGGGAGGAGACTCAGCATGTGTGACGACAACATTCACCCCCCACTTACTCTGCTGGACACCCCCAGCCCCGACCCCCAGCCCCACCACCGCTATCCACTGCTGGCCCTCCCCCCCCCCAGCCCCGACCCCCAGCCTCACCACTGCCATCCCACTGCTGGCCCCCCCCAAACCCAACCCACAGCCCCACCACCCCCATCCTCCACTGCTGGCCCCCACCCCCCCCAGCACCGACCCCCAGGCCCACCATCGCCATCTACCGCTGGGTCCCCCCCAGCCCTGACCTGCAGCCCCACCACCCCCATCCACCATTGGGGACCCCCCCAAACCCGACCCACAGCCCCACCATTCCCCTCCTCTGCTGGGCATCCCTCAGCGCCAACCGTGTCCTGTAGCCTGCGCTCCGACCCACCTCCTCCAGGGGGCAGCAGCCCCAGTCCCCGGTGGCCAGCCTGCAGCAGGTGCTGCCCTCAGGACAGCTGGTCTGCTCGTCGCACTGCACTCGGCCAGCAGAGGGCGCTCGTACCCGCGCCGGGGTTTTCTCCAGCCAGGGGACGGGGGCGGCGGGCGGGTGGCAGCTGCCCCCCGCCGGGTCGCAGGTGTACCCCTTGGGGCAGCAATGGACGTGGTCCTGGCAGCACACGGCCTGGGCGGGGGGAGGAGACTCAGCATGTGTGACGACAACATTCACCCCCCACTTACTCCGCTGGACACCCCCAGCCCCGACCCCCAGCCTATCCACTGCTGCCCCCCCCCCCAGCCCCGACCCCCAGCCCCACCACCGCTATCCACGGCTGGGGGCCCCCCCCAACCCGACACACAGCCCCACCACTGCCATCCACTGCTGGCCCCCGCCCCCCCCAGCCCCGACCCCCAGCCCCACCACCGCCATCTACTGCTGGGATGCCCCCCCCAGCCCCGACCCCCAGCCCCACCACCGCCATCCACCGCTGGGGACCCCCCGGGGGGGCAGCAGTGCAGGCGATCGCTGCAGCAGACGGCCTGGAGTGCCGGGGAAGAACCCATGCCCGGTTAGACCCACTGTATGGCCAGGGCCCCGGGGCAGGCAAATCCAGCTCCAGGGCAGCCAACCACTGGTGCGGTGGGGGATGTCCCCCAGGGGCTCAGCTCCAAGGTAGCCGCCAGCCCCTCCCTCAGGCAGGAACTTGGCTGGCAGGGCCCCCTAGGCCCCAGCCATTTCTACAGCGTCTTCTCTGGGCACACCCAGCCCCCAGCAGCCCTGCAATGCAGCCACTGCTGGGGGGACCAGCTAGGGGACGTAGCCCAACAACGAACTTCTGAGAGGGGCCCTTAGGAGCTGGGACATGCCCAGAGCAGGCCTGAGGGAACCTGCCTGCCTAGCATGGCGTGAACCTGGCCCCCGAGGCTCAGCACTGGCATCAGTCTGGGGCAGATACCAGAGGCGGCGGCTGTGTGGGCAGATCGCTGGTGCCAGTCCAAGGCAGGAGACCAGCAGGAGCAGAGCCTGGCCGGCCGCACGCTAAGACATGACACAGACTGCCAGACGCCCTGTTCTGTGCAGCGTGATGCCCACCCAGGGGTGCCCCCCCAGCCCACTCCCCTCCCCCAGGCCGGGCTCTCTCCTCTCCACAGGCCTGGCGCATCACCATCCCCTGGGCCGCGTTGTAACGGGGGCCGGGTTTCACCTGCCCAGGGGCGCAGGATGCCAGACCGGACTCTGCAGCACTTCTGTGCCATGGGGCAGGCGTCAATCCGAAAGGGGCTGGCGCAGTGGGGCACAGACATCCCAAGTCATGGGAGGCTCCTGGTTGCCCTAGGACACCAGGAGGAGGGGCAGAGGGAACAGGCAGCTCACAGAATACCCCGGGAGGGGTAACTCGTAACCCACATCCTGCCCTGCCCGCCCCATCCTCACTCACATTCTGCAGTGGGCAGCAGCCGTACTGGCTGGTGGGCAGCTGGCAGCAGGCAGTGCCATCCGGACACGCTGACTGGTGGTCGGGGCAGGTGATCATGATAAATGAGGCTGGGGAGGGCAGGGGAAGCAAGGTCAGGGGGGCACAGACCAACCAAGCCCTCCCCCACCCCCCCAGCTGCCCCACCAGGGCCCTGACAGCACCTGCCACCCCACAGGCCTCTGCCCCGGCTGCAGGCAGGGCCCCAGGAGCAGGCTTGGGGGCACCTCCTACCATGGGGGCTGTGCCTCCCCATGAGGTGAGCTCTCAACCTGGCTCTGGGGACAGCCTGTGACCCCTGTATCCAACTCCTCTTCCCAGAGAAGCTGAGGGGGTGTCCTACTGAATGTACACACCCACCACTGCAATGCAGCCACCTCTGGGGGCAGCCTGCTTGCTGTTTAACAGCGCACAGGAAGGGAAGCAGACCCTGGGTGTACGACACACCCCCACCTCGCCCCCAGGATCCCAGGGCTGTCTCTGCTGCCCGAGCAGCCCTGTAACGAGTGTCTTCCATGACGATGCGGGGCAGGGGAAGCCTCTGTAGCACAGCGCCCCCTAGGCAAGGGGCTAGCTCACTCCTCCAGCCAGGGTGTGGGCCCGACACAGAGGGCACCACATGGCACGGTGAGCCCCGCCCCCCCAGCCTGCGCCCCAGGACCCCCACACGTGGGGCTGAGCAGCCCGTGGGACCGCTCCCCACCCCCTGGCCGTGCCATACCTGGCACTCCCTGCCATGGCGCACGCTTCCGGGCCGGCACCTTGCTGCCCAGGGGCTGCTCGCCGGCGGCTGAGAGGCAGCGGGCATGTTCCAGGTCGCAGGTGGTGGCATGGGGGCAGCAGTGCACCTTGTCCACGCAGCACGCGGCCTGCCAGAGACACGGGACGTGGCAGAGCAGAGAGGGAGCCAGCAACCCCGCCAGCTCCCTCCCTGGCCCCCCACCTCGACCACACGGCACCCAGGTCGACCCCCAGCACCTCTCACACCAGCGCCTCGCCCTGGCTTGGCACAGCTGCCCCAGAACCAACCCTGACCCATGGCCCCCTGTATACCAGCCCTGCCCCCCCACCGACCCACAGCCCCCCCGTATACCAGCCTGCCCCCCATACCAGCCCATAGCCCCCTGTATCCAAGCCCTGCCACCTGCCAACCCACGGCCCCCTGCATCCCAGCCCCACACCCCTGTCAGCCCAGGCCCCCTGTATCCCAGCCCCACCCCTGCCTCCACAGCTGACCCACAGAACCCTCTATCCCAGTCCCGCCCCCTGCCAACCCAGAGCCCCCTGTATCCCAGCCCCACCCCTGCCCCCCTGGTGTCCCAGACCCACCCTGCTCCCCCAGCTGACTCACAGCCTCCTGTATCCCACCCCTGCCGCCCCACGTCCCCCTGAGCCCTGTGTATCCTGGCCTGACCCCTGTCCCCCCAGTCAACCCACGGCCCCTCATATCCCAGCCCTGACACCCACCCACCCACCCACGGCCCCCTGTACCCCAGCTTTGCCCCCAAGCCGACCCACAGCCCCCTGCATCCCAGCCCATCTCCTCAACGTTCCCTATATCCCAGCCCTGAGCTCCCTGCACACACCCCCAGAGCCCTCTTCCTGCCACCCGGTACCTGTGGCATGGGGCAGCACCCCCAGGAGCCAGTGGGCATCATGCAGCAGGTGGACTCATTGGGACACTCTGATTCGCCATCAGGGCACTGGACAGCATCAGCGGCCGGGAGACCTGCCAAGAGCGTGACCAGCGCCTGGCACTCAGCAGGGAGAAGCCAGGGCAGCCCTGCCCTCAGCCCCTCGCCCACAGGCAGAGGCCACTCGGCAGGCACCACCTGGGCAAGCAAGCAGATCCACCAGCCCACCAGAAGGTGCCAGCTGGAGTCTCTTGCTCCAGGGCCCTCCCCAGGGGAGTCCAAGACCCACTGGGGCCCGGGTAGGGGAATCACCAGCCCCTGCCCCCAGTGCGATGGGAACGCCCCTGCTATAGACCCTGCCCCCCACAATCCAACAGCTGGAGGACTAGAAGCCAAACCCTCCCACACCAGGGCGGCCACGCCACATGGCCATGAGCCGCTGGGCACTGGGCAAAGCTCCTGGCATCGGGCAGAGCCCCTGGCATCGGGCAGAGCCCGGTCGGCACCAGACCCGGGGCCAGAGGCAGAGGCTGGAAGTGCCAACAGGGTCCCCTTGTGTCATGCAGCAGCCACACTCGGACGCTGGGGCCCCGGACACCCGGAGGTCACGCCGGTCCCCCCCGACCCCATACCTGGGAACACAAAGCAGGATTTGCCGTCGGCACTGCAGTGGGACCCCCGGGGGCAGCAGCGATGCCTGTCGGCGCAGGCGACGGCCTGAGGAGAGACAGAGGAGATGGCTCTGGGCGGCCCAGACAGCCACGGGGCAGAGGGGAGGGGCTGCTGCAGCATATCCCAGCACCCTGAACCTGGGACAGGGGACAGTGGCTGGGAGCAGCCACATGGGCCACGGGAATGCACCCGAGGCAGATGGACACCAGCACCAAGCAGCTCCGACCCCTTGACCCCAACATTTCCCCCCCACACACACACAGATGGGGAAACTGAGGCACAGTGAGGAGACAGAACTCAGTGGAAGAGAATGGGGAACAGAACCCAGGAATCCTGAGACCCCCAGTTCTAAGCACCGGAGAATATGCTGCTTCCCCCAGGCCAGAACAAACACTGCCCCCCTGGGCTACGGACGGGGGGAGGTAAAGGAAAACACCCAGCCTATGGCCAAGCAGGAGTTTTCAGGACCAGGGAGAGCCAGAGCCATGCCCTACAATCCATTCTGCAGCCGGTAACTCCCGGCACTGTACCGCCCCCATGCCCTCTACTCCCACATAGGCACCATGGGTCACCCAGCCCCATGTCCTGTCTTCCGCAGGGGCCAGCCCCAGGTGAACCAAGAAGCCCCACAGTAGCAGATGTAGTATAATCTGCTCCCCCTCCCCAGCCAGCCCGGAAGGCCTCATCCTAATCTGAGTCAGGCTGAAGCCCCGAAGGAGGAGGTCTGAGCTCCCGTCCGCGCTAGCGGCAACGGTGACAACTCGGAGTGTCCCATGGACCCACAGGAACAGCCAATCCCTTCTTGGCCTCCCTGCAGCAGGGAGTTCCACAGTGTGACTATGCCCTGGGTGGAAGGTATTTCCAATGATCCCCAGGGGAGACCCCTCTCCCCACACCCTGCCTACAGGCAGGGTCTGAACCAGCCTGGCAGCTGGCCAGGAAGCTCTCTGGGGAGTATGGGCCAGCCCAGCAGCCCACCCTGGGACTGTGGGTACGGCCGCTCATGTCCCAAGAACAAGCTGGACAGCAAACCCACGGAGGTCCCCCACCCCCTGGGCAAGGCACTTACCTCTGACAATGGGCAGCAGCTGAAGGAGCCGGCCGACGTGCGCAGGCAGCTGTGTTCCACGGGGCACCAGGTACCATCGGGGCACACGGTCCCGGCAGGCTTGGCCACGCTGCTGGCCTGGGTCATAGGCACGGAGTGCGAGGAGCCCTGGTGGAGGAGGCAGAGGGTGAGAGGGATGCAGTGCCGGGAGCCCGGAGCACAATGGCCCCCCAAAACCACCCGCTGGCTCCTGGTCAGAGCAGGGGGGCTGAGTCATGGCTTGGGAGCAGCCAGACTAAACTGCCTTGGGCAGACCCTCAAACACCCCCAGATCCCACCCCAGGGGTGCCGGGCTCTCAGCGGGGGAGACGTACAGCAAGCGCTCACAGCCTGGGCTGGGAAGGGCACCCGGCACAGACATGTCTGCTTTCCACGTCGGGCACCAGCGCAACCAGGAGGGTGCTGGCGGGCAGATCCCTTCCCCTTAACTGGCCCGGTTGAGGGCCCAGCTCTGCCCGGGGCACCTGCGACAGGGCAGGAGACCCCTGAGTTTCGACAGTTTCTACCCATTTTTGGCTGGGGGGGTTTTGCCCTGGTGTATAGACCAGGGTCTGCCCTCCAGCACGCAGAGCTCAGGGCAGGGGGTCCTGTTCACTCCCAGACAGTGGGCCCAGGCTGCTCCAGAGGGCACAAAGGGACTGGATCCCCCCCCCCCCCCATGAGGGAAGGGCCTCAGCACCCGGTGGAGGAGGGTTAACCACAGACTCCTGGCAGCGCGGGGTGGGACAGCAGATGAGGCAAGCAGGGCAGTTAATCACAGCCAGGTTCTGCAAGGCTTCCGCTAGGGATCTGGGTTACGACAATGCTCCCGCCCGCCCCACCCCGGGCTCTTCCTCCCGTCCCCAGGAGCGACTCCCTCCACACCCCCAGCCACGAGAGCAGCTCAGGCCCTGCAGCGTCATGCCAGCTGGGGCACTGGCCAGAGACCCAGCGAGCTCACTCCATGCAGGCCAGAGCGGCTGGCTCTGAGAGACCTTCACCGCCCATAGCGACCCCTCCAGCCCTCGCCAGGGATGTGACGCAGACACTCACCAGAGACGGTGGGCAGCAGGCATAGCCATCCCCTCCGGGATCCCGGCAGCAGACGTCAAGCCCCTGGCACAGCCGGCCATCGGGGCACCGCAGGGAGGTCACTGCTCCAGACAGCGCCAGCCACAATGGCACGAGCGACCACATCCTTGGGGAGAGACCCTGCGAGGGACCAGCCAACAGCTGCTCAGACGCCTCACTCCACCATGTTTCCTGGGGCACCTGGCTTTAACCCTGAGCCGCCAGCTGGCTGTGGGGCTAGGCAGGACCCCAGACGCAGCCGGGGGTAGGGAAGCAGAACTCCTTGGTTCTGTCCCTGGCTCTGCTCCCGACGTGCTGTGCAGCCGGGGACAAGCAGAATCATTCACCTGCCTCTGTGCCTCAGTTTCCCCATCTGTAAAATGGGGGTAAGTACTTACCTTTTCCCACACCCCTGAACCAGGAGACCCCACTGCACAAAAACAGCCACAACACCAGCCCCAGCCCCACCCCTCCGGCTAATGCAGCAAGCCACTTCCCCAGCCAGGGCCCCCCACCCGCTCTGAGAGCTGTTCTCTGGCACCAGCCTGCTTCTAGGTGAGGGCCCTGGCCGCGGCGGTGACCCCACAGCTGCGCCTGGCCGGACCAGCGGATCCCAGTGCTGGGGTGGGGGCTGTGGTTCAGGTGTGGTCCCTCCCGCCCCCCTCCGGCTAGGACCCACCAGCTGCCCCCCTTGTGACACTGCCTCGTGCCCGTCCCACAGTGCTCAACCGCGCCCAGGGAAAGCCCCCGCAGGCTGCACGGGCGCCTTACGCTGCTCAGAGCCGCTGGCGCGATGCAGGGTTCAGCTGGCGGGCTAGCCCTGGCATGCAGCCTCCGCCCCCTTGCTGTTGGGAACCAGCTCTGGGAGGGGATCAGTGACCAAACCAGCCCCACGGCACAAAGTCCAAGCTGATAAGAGCTTCCACCCAGATCTCCAGCCTGGCCCCCTCCCCCAGCGCTGCGGCCCCAGTGGGGATCTGGCCACAGGCCAGCAGAAACACGGATGCAGCAGAGAGGCGGAAATGCAAGCCGTGTATCAGGGCACAGCAGCTTGGGAAGCAGCTGGGCCTGTCGGAGACATGTCTGGCCCGTCCTCCCCCCCTCCGGCTTCACAGCCCCTTTGAGCTCCAGCAGCGTTGGCCAGTGGTTAGAACACAGAGCCAGGACTCTGGAGTCCTATTCTGGCCCGACAGCCCTCTCCTGCCCTTCTGTGAGCTGGCGAGGCCCATGACCCCGGCCAGCTCATTCCTTCTGCTCCGGGACGTTCGGGCTGGAAGGGGCTACTCACGCTCCCTGGCTGCTGCAGGGGACTCTGGAGTCGACCTGGGTGAACCGGGCCCACTGCCACTCAGCCATGGGTCTCACGTGTACGCACGGCAGGGACCTGCAGGCCGGCCAGGCAGGCAGGGTCTGTACTGAGGCCAGGGCGGTGCTGAGAGGGGCTGTGGGCGGGCAGCGTGCCGGGGGAGGTCCTGCAGCACCACTGCAGTCCGGGGAAGCGCTCACACCCGCACACCTGCTGGCAGGGAGGGACAGCTGCAATTTGCTCGGTGCAGGTGTCTCCCGGACAGAACTGGGGGGGGGAAATCACAGCCTCCCCCTGCCCTGTGTTCATGGTGCCCCCCAATGGCAGGCAGCGTCAAGTGCCCACTGGGTCAGGCGAGGAACAACTCCACCTGCCTAAATTCAAGAGACAAGCCCTGAACAGTCGGGCAGGCGTCGCTCAGCCCCTTGGGAAGATCCCACCCGCCCCAGAAAGCCCCTCAGAGACGGGTGGGGAGCAGGCCTGGGCTGGAGCCACGACTCATCTCCCCGATCTCCCCCGCTCCCCGGTGCTCTTGATCCTGGAACCAGAGCCCCAGCATTGGCTGGACCTGGCCTGACAATGGTCCCACAGCTCCTGCGCTGCCCAGAGCATGCCCCCCCCGCCAGCCCACCAGAGCCCAGGGAGTTTCACTCCATGCAGCCAGGGAATCCTTGTCCCATCCTGCTCCCAGCCGCCCCACCCACCAGCAAAGCACAGGGCCCTACAGGCTCTCCTCTGGCCCCGCAGAGCAACCCCTGGCACTGGGCCGGTGGGATAAGGGTTTGCTTGCCTCCATCGGGGGCGGGAGGAGGCGTCTCACCCGGCCCCTGCCCATGGGCATGGAGACGTGTGCCCGCCCTCCACCTGGCTCCAGGCCCCGGCAGCTGCATGCGCCTCTAGCCGCGTTCGCCTCATGCACTGTAACCACGAGACGCAACCCTCAGCCGCGGCTCCCCGATAGCGCGCGGCCCTCACCTCATGCTGCAGCCCAAGGGGCATGGCTCAGCCTGCCGGGGCACTACAGCCCCCAGCAGCTAGGCAGAGGGTCGTTCCTGGGCAGAGGCAGTTCTGTCCTGCCACCCCCCACAGTGCAGCCGCGTCGACAGCTCAGTGTTTGCTCATGGGGCAAATGAGGGCCAGATCCCCTCCTCCCGCCAGAGAGCAACCCCTGGCACTGGGCCTCTCACCCCACAAGTCCCCCTCTGCTCCTACCAGCTGCCCCTGGAACGCTGCACCCTCAGCTCCCAGCACCCAACTCAGCCTGGAGAGCCTGTGCCCAGCACCAGGGCTGCTTCATGCCAACAACCGGGGGACAGACCGGCACAGGCAGGGAGGGCTCTGCGCCAGGTACCAGAGCGGCAGGGAGTCAGACGCCTGCTGGCCAGAGCAGGCCCCCACGTGCTCTCGCTTCCCCCCTGCCCACACGCTTTCTCCTGCCTGCCAGCCAGCCCTGGGAGTCTGGTTCTGGCTCCCCCCGCCTCTGGCCCAGCGCTCCTGTCAGCAGGCTGGAGAAGCAGGTCACAGCCAGACAGGGGTGATAAGCACTTGTGGGAGAGCAGCCACCACGGGGACAGCCTCCCGGCCCGGGTGCAAGCCTCTGGGTGACGGTGTGGTTAACCAACTCCCCCAAGCTCATCAGCGATGTTATCGTCGAGCCCGAGAGCGCGAGTCCTGTCGGCTCAGCAGCCTTTCACGGCAGTTCTCACCCCCCGCGCCCGAGCCAGGCTGTGCTGAGACACTGCAGCGCCCAGCCGTAGGAGGGGGAGCCCCATTGTACACGTGGAGAAACCGAAGCACTGAAAGGGGCTGCGATTGCACTAAGTTCAGGCAGCCAGTCAGCGGCAGAGCTGGGGACCAAACGAGCTCCCAGTCACTTCTGAGCCCCCGAGGGCTTGGTAAGGGGCAGCAAAGCGGGTCTGGCTCTGGGCACAGTTCATAACCCCACAGTGGGAACAGGGCGTGCGCTGAACCTCAGCTCCTTGCAATCCTTGGGACTCTCGCTGGAGCACAGCTCCCATGGCTCTAGCTGGAAAGAAGCCATCCCTGCACCGAGTTGGAGGCCAGGACCTGTCTCCCATTGCCAGCGCACCACTGACCTGCTGGGTGACCGGGGGCAAGTTCCCTCCCCAGGTCTCAGTTTCCCCATCTGCCAGGGGACAATGCTTCCCCAGGGTAGGGCTCAATCCCCACCTGTGGAGGGCTACGCGCCTCTCAGCACAAGCATGTCCAGAAGTGCCTTCCCGGGAGCACATCACGCACAGACGCAAGCAAAGGACCTTCCTGCCTCCCCCACTGCTGCTTCCCACCCCTAGATTCATGTGCATTCTGGGCCCGCCACCATGTGCCCTCCTAGATTGTGCAAAGGAGCCTCAGGCGTGTCCCATAGCGCTCACTCACCCCAGCTGCCCCTTGCCCTCAGAGAGACCTGTAACAGCATTTGCAGCGAAAGCAGCACGCGGTGTTTACAGCTCATGTAGAGCGCCAGGCGAGCATGCAATAAAGATCCGAGCGAGTGCACTGGAGCTGGGGGTTGCCTCCACCAGTTCCTCTTACTTCACTCACATTGCTGAGTTTGCACCCAGTTTCTACCAGCTGTGAAGGAAACAAAACCCCATGACAGAGGACGACAAGCCAGATGGGGAAGCAAAAGTAGAAAGACGGGTGGCAGAGTGCGGTGCAAACAGCTGGGTCCCTCAACACACCCCACCGTTTCAGGGCCCACTACACTGGAAAAGCTACCATGTAGGGGAGCTGATTGAGGGTACAGCCACACCCTGATATGATTAATACTATTTCACCTGGTACTGTAGACAGGACCTATCTGTCCCACTGAACCCCAGGCTGCAGCCCGGTTTGGGGAGATGGTTAGACACTTGATCAGCTCCCATCCACCTCACGAACATGGGGATGCATTTTAGCTGGGTCAGGGGCCGGGGAAGATGACCATATTGTAGCGGAGTCTCCCCAACACTGCTCTTCCTGTAGTGTAGATGGGAGCCAAGGCAGGGATGCAAACAGCTATTGCACTAGGGCAGAGGGAGAGGGGAGGGCGAGGGCCCCACCCCCACCCAGCAGGACCAAGGCACAGCATCTAAACCGCAGCAGTCCTGGGAAACCCGCCCCAGGCAAAGAATTTGACACATCCGTAGAGTCACCTGGACCAGACGACTGGGCACCAGGCAGACACTAGTTGGCTGGGCTTTGCTCACAGAGGGCTTGAGATGCACGTAGGGCTGTTTCCCAGAAGGGCAATGCCAAAGCAGAGGTGTCCCCACGTCAGGGACAAGAAAACGGAACAGCAGTGCCAGCCCACGGGCACTCGGTCCAGAAACTGCTGGTCATACAGCTCGGCCTCGCAGCAACCTGCCTGGGCCATTCCAGGTCCAGTCCAAGGCAGCTCATCCACACGCCAGGGGCATAACGGGCCCAATGAGCCGGGGCACAGCCACCAAGCCGCGAAGGGACTTGGGGAGTCTTCACTGCCCAGTGGGTGAGGCGGTACCAGGAGAGAGCTGCCTGCACTTGCCTAAACTCCTGATGGAGACATGGCTCTGGATTTTACTGGGACCTAGCGAAGGGAAGCCTGGGTGTGGGAGGAGACAGCACCACCCTCCCCAAGCCATGGCAAGGTAGAAAGCCCTAGATTCCTAGTGCAATGGTTAATGCGCTCATTTGCCTGCTGTACACCCAACCCCCTTTGGCCGTGGAGACCCAGCTGGGCCATGGGCCCTCACGGAGGGGGCCAGCCCCACACCATCCCACATACTAACACCATGGTCAAACCCGCCCCAAGATAAGCGAGGCGGAGGGTGCCGGGGAGAGGCCAGTTTTGGCAGAGCGTGCCCGCTAGGGGAGCACCGGTCTTATGTCATCTCCAGCAGCCAGCACCTGCCTAGGAGACGAGATGCCAGGCAGGTGCACCAGGATCCAGGCAGCACGGCTGAGCTAGTCACATGAGTCTGTCTCTTTGCTCACTCGCTCGCACATCACACGGGGATATGAATCATGCCCTGGGTAGCCAGGGGACGACAGGCCGCCAGCAGGAGTCGTGCCTGGGCAGCACCACCCAGTAAGCCACACAACCTTGGGAAGAGCAGCACCCACCACCACCACAGAAGGGGAAACTGAGACACAGAGCTAGCCTGGCCTGCCAAGGTACAGGGCAGCTCAGGTCCAGAGCCAGGAACAGAACTCAGGGCCCCTGGCTCCGAGCCCTTCCCCTCCCACGCTAGCCACAGGGGAAGCGCTGCGAAGTGCTGGCCCAGCTGGGCACCGGCTGTGGGCAGCGGGGCGACGCCACCCAGGAGCCCTTACAGCCAGACCAGCGCGCCCAGCGCAGCCGGTCCCGCCGGGCACTGGTGCAAGCGGCACCGCCCGCCACAGCTCCAGCCCCGGGCCCGGTCTGGGCCCCGCAGCGCAGGGGCCACGTGCCGACCACGCATTGCACCAGGGACCCGACCCGAGACACGACCCGAGACACGACCGGACCCGAGACACGACCCTACCCACGACCCGAGACACGACCGGACCCGAGACACGACCCTACCCACGACCCGAGACACGACCCGACCCGAGACACGACATGACCCACGACCCGAGACACGACCCGACCCGAGACACGACCCGACCGCAGCCCCTACCCGCAGCGGGGAACCCGGGGGGCTGCAGCTGGGGCGGGGAGGGGGCTCCCTGCCGGGACAATAAGGGGCCGGGGCCGGCAGCTGCCAGCCGGGCTCCCCCCGGGGCCCCACGCGCCAGCCCCCCCGGAAAAGCCAGGCCGAAGGGGACCCCCCCGCAGCGCCCCCGGCCCCGCACCTGAGGCTGCACCGCGCGCACCGACCCGGCGGCTCCCGACCGGCTGCAGCTCCCGGGCCCCGCGACCCCGCTCCAGCCGCCGGCCCCGCCCACTCCTCCGGATTGGTCACGGGGCGCGGCCTGCCTCGCTCCCATTGGGCGCTGCCCTCAAAGGCGGCGGAGCGCGCGGAGGAATGCGCCCCGCGGGAAGCCCCAGGAGGTCATGTGACGAGCCAGTCACGTGACCCAGCGGGTCCGCGCACGTGGTTGCCCCTGCGGCCTGGTCTGCGCCCCACACCCCGCCCGGCTCGAGGCCGAGCCCGCTCCCGCGAGCCCCCCCCAGGGTGACCCCCCCCGCCCGGCTCGAGGCCGCCCCCGCGAGCCCCCCGCCCCAGGGAGCCCCCCCCAGGGTGACCCCCCCGCCCGGCTCGAGGCCGCCCCCGCGAGCCCCCCGCCCCAGGGAGCCCCCCCAGGGTGACCCCCCCCGCCCGGCTCGAGGCCGCCCCCGCGAGCCCCCCGCCCCAGGGAGCCCCCCTCGCGAGCCCCCCCGCAGGTCCGAGGCCCCCCTGAGCCCTCCCCGGGTGCCCCCCCGCGAGCCCCCCCGCCAGGTCCGAGGCCCCCCGCGAGCCCCCCCCGGGTGCCCCCCCGAGAGCCCCCCGCCAGGTCCGAGGCCGCCCCCCCCAGGATGACCCCCCCCGCCAGGTCCGAGCCCCCCCCGGGTGCCCCCCCGCCAGGTCCGAGGCCCCCCCGAGCCCCCCCGCCGGAGGCGAGCCCGGTGCCGCAGACACAAGCCCCGGCGCGCCCCGGGGACGGACCGAGAGCGGCTCGGCGCGGGGCCAGGAGCGTTTCCCGAGGGGAGCCGGGCGGGGGCCGGCCCTGGGGCTGCCGGCTCTTGGCGGCTTCTCACGCCGCTCTCGGGGCCGGACCTGGAGGCCGGTCCCTGCTGCAGCGTCCGGCTCCCTCGGGCGGGGGCTGACGATCAGCTGCCGATTTTGCAAACAGCTTAAGATCCGGCCCAGGGCGACAGCCGGCAGAGCTGGGAAGAGAGCCCAGGGTGCTCCCCGAACACAGCCGAGCCCAACCGAGCCGGCGCCCTGCTCCCCGAAACCCGCCGGCGCCCTGCTCCCCGAAACCCGCCGGCGCCCTGCTCCCCGAAACCCGCCGGCCCCGGCGCCCTGCTCCCCGAAACCCGCCGGCCCCGGCGCCCTGCTCCCGAAACCCGCCGGCGCCCTACTCCCCGTAACCCGCCGGCCCCGGCGCCCTGCTCCCCGAAACCCGCCGGCGCCCTGCTCCCCGAAACCCGCCGGCCCCGGCGCCCTGCTCCCCGAAACCCGCCGGCGCCCTGCTCCCCGAAACCCGCCGGCCCCGGCGCCCTGCTCCCCGAAACCCGCCGGCCCCCTGCTCCCCGAAACCCGCCGGCCCCGGCGCCCTGCTCCCCGTAACCCGCCGGCCCCGGCGCCCTGCTCCCCGAAACCCGCCGGCGCCCTGCTCCCCGAAACCCGCCGGCCCCGGCGCCCTGCTCCCCGAAACCCGCCGGCGCCCTACTCCCCGTAACCCGCCGGCCCCGGCGCCCTGCTCCCCGAAACCCGCCGGCGCCCTGCTCCCCGTAACCCGCCGGCCCCGGCGCCCTGCTCCCCGAAACCCGCCGGCGCCCTGCTCCCCGAAACCCGCCGGCCCCGGCGCCCTGCTCCCCGAAACCCGCCGGCGCCCTGCTCCCCGAAACCCGCCGGCCCCGGCCCCCTGCTCCCCGAAACCCGCCGGCGCCCTGCTCCCCGAAACCCGCCGGCCCCGGCGCCCTGCTCCCCGAAACCCGCCGGCGCCCTGCTCCCCGAAACCCGCCGGCCCCGGCGCCCTGCTCCCCGAAACCCGCCGGCGCCCTACTCCCCGGAACCCGCCGGCCCGGCGCCCTGCTCCCGAAACCCGCCGGCGCCCTGCTCCCCGTAACCCGCCGGCGCCCTACTCCCCGTAACCCGCCGGCCCCGGCGCCCTGCTCCCGAAACCCGCCGGCGCCCTGCTCCCCGAAACCCGCCGGCCCCGGCCCCCTGCTCCCCGAAACCCGCCGGCGCCCTGCTCCCCGAAACCCGCCGGCCCCGGCCCCCTGCTCCCCGAAACCCGCCGGCGCCCTGCTCCCCGTAACCCGCCGGCCCCCGGCGCCCTGCTCCCGAAACCCGCCGGCCCCGGCGCCCTGCTCCCCGAAACCCGCCGGCGCCCTGCTCCCCCGAAACCCGCCGGCGCCGGCGCCCTGCTCCCCGTAACCCGCCGGCCCCGGCGCCCTGCTCCCGAAACCCGCCCGCCCGGCGCCCTGCTCCCCGAAACCCGCCGGTGCCCTGCTCCCCGTAACCCGCCGGCCCCGGCGCCCTGCTCCCCGAAACCCGCCGGCGCCCTGCTCCCCGAAACCCGCCGGCCCCGGCGCCCTGCTCCCCGAAACCCGCCGGCCCCCTGCTCCCCGAAACCCGCCGGCCCCGGCGCCCTGGTCCCCGTAACCCGCCGGCCCCGGCGCCCTGCTCCCCGAAACCCGCCGGCCCCGGCGCCCTGCTCCCCGTAACCCGCCGGCCCCGGCGCCCTGCTCCCCGAAACCCGCCGGCGCCCTGCTCCCCGAAACCCGCCGGCCTCGGCGCCCTGCTCCCCGAAACCCGCCGGCGCCCTGCTCCCCGTAACCCGCCGGCCCCGGCGCCCTGCTGTGACGATGTGACTCAGCAGGGAGGGGGGAGTATTGACCTGGGAATGTGCCCTGGGGATGGGAGACCTGAGAGCCTGTCACCTGAGCCAGGAGGGGGAGGTGACACCTCTGCCCAGGAATGTGAACAGAGGCTGCAGCAGGGAACCTGCTGGGTGGGTTGAGTTGGCAGTTTGGAGGCTGGGGAGAGGAACACAGGGAACCCCAGGGCTGGGGTCTAAGCTCCCTGCTCCCCCAGAAGGACGTGATTGAGGGGTCCTGGTTGTACCCACAAGCTCTGTTGTGGACTGTGTTCCTGTTGTCCAATAAACCTTCTGTTTTACTGGCTGGCTGAGAGTCTCAGTGGATCCCAGGAAGAGGGGTGCAGGGCCTGGACTCCACATTTCTCCCACAAGCACCGGAGCAGGGCCGACATGAAGTTGGAGCCTTGGTCTGTCAAGACTTCCTTGGGGAACCCCACTCGGCTGAAAATGGTCAGGAGCGCATCGGCCACGGTGTCTGCTTCAATGGAAGCTAAGGGCACCTGCCTCGGGGTAGCGGGTGGCAAAATCTACCACGACCAGAATGTATTTCTTCCCCGACCGGGTCGTCTTGCTGAGAGGCCCCACGATGTCCATGGCCACCTTCTGGAAAGGCTCCTCTATGATGGGCAAAGGTCTCAAAGCCGCTTTCCCCTTGTCCCGGGCCTTCCCCACCCTCTGACAGGGGTCACAGGATCGGCAATACTGCCGGACCGTGGTAAAGACCCCGGGCCAGTAAAAGTTCTGTAGCAACCTCTGCCGGGTGCGCCGGATTCCCTGGTGCCCTGCGAGGGGGATGTCATGGGCCAGGGACAGGAGCTTGCGGCGATACTTCTGGGGGACCACCAGCTGCCTCCTGATCCCACAGGACTCTACTTCCCTTGTGGGAGCCCATTCTCGGTATAGGAACCCTTTCTCCCACAGGAACCTCTCCTGGCAGCCTCTCCTCATGGTCCGTACCACACCGAGGTCGGCCAGGTCCCTGAGCTTCCGCAAGGAGGGATCTTTCCTCAACTCGGCCTGGAACTCAGCGGCTGGGGAAGGGATGGGGACCGGTTCCCCCTCAGTGGCCAGGTCTGAGGCCTCAGCCTCTCTGAGCCGTGCCCCTCGGCCCTCCCTTCCCACCAGGGTAGGGTCCTGCGCCTCCGGTGCGGTACCCTCCCCGAGGTCAGGGAGCAGTGGCCCTCGCCGGCTCTGGCTACGGGTCACAACCAGGGCGGTCTGGGGCTTGCTTGGCCAGTCCTCTAGGTCTCCCCCCATCAAAACTTCAGTGGGCAAATGGTGGTGTACCCCCACATCCTTGGGGCCCTCCTTGGCCCCCCATTTCAGGTGTACCCTTGCCACGGGCACCTTAAATGGGGTCCCGCCCACCCCTGTCAGGGTCAGGTAGGTGTTGGGCACCACCCGATCTGGGGCCACCACCTCGGGCCGGGCCAGCGTCACCTCCGCGCCCGTATCCCAGTATCCATTGACCTTCCTCCCATCCACCTCCAGGGGAACAAGGCACTCTCTCCGGAGGGACAGCCCCGCGCCCACCCTGTAAACTGAGCACCCTGAGTCCAGAGCCTCCAGCCCTCTGGTGGAGCTGGCCTGGGGTACTCTTCCCTCCTGAGCAGGTGGTAAACTGGTAGGCCCCCTTTCCTGGGTCGTCTGCCCCTCGTCCAGCTGGGTCCCTACCCAATTAACCCTGGGTAGGTTGGGTCTGCTCAGTTTGTCCCTGAGCCCAGGGCACTGGGACCGTATGTGGCCTCTCTGGCCACAGTGATAGCAGCTCAGGTCACGTTGGTCCCCTCGAGCAGGTCGGAGGGGCCCGACGCCAGGCGTTCCCCTTGGGAGGGGGTTCTCCCTATTTCCCCGCTGGGAGGCCCCCTGGTGACTCTCTCTCTGCATCGGGGGGGCCTGTTCTTTTGGGACTCCTCCCCGGCTACCCCCTGACCGACTGTTCACAAACTCGTCGGCCAGCTGCCCTGCGTGCTGGGGGTTCTCGAGCTTTTTGTCCACCAACCACAGCCTCAGGTCGGAAGGGCACTGTTCATACAGTTGCTCCAGTACAATTAGGTCAAGCAGGTCCTCTTTAGCTCGGGCCCCAGCTGTCCACTTGCGGGCATACCCCTGCATCCGGTTGGCCAGTTGTAGGTAGGTGACCTCAGGCGTTTTACGCTGACTCCGGAACCTTCTCCGGTACATCTCGGGGGTCAGCCCAAACTCACGGAGCAGGGCCTGTTTGAACAGTTCATAGTCCCCTGCCTCCGGCCCTGTCATCCGGCTGTACACCTCCACGGCTTTGGGATCCAGTAAGGGGGTGAGAAACTGGAGCCTGTCTGCAGGGTCAACCCTGTGCAGCTCACAGGCATTCTCAAAGGCCGTCAGGAAGCTATCTATGTCCTCCCCCTCCTTCCGCTGGGCCAGGAAGCACTTATCAAAGTTCCTTGCAGTCTTGGGTCCCCCCTCACTCACCACAGCCGGGGCCCCACTGCTCCTCAGCCTGGCCAGCTCCAGTTCATGCTGTCTTTGTTTCTCCTTCTCCTGACGTTCCCTCTCCTTCTCCTGACGCTCCCTCTCCTTCTCCTGACGCTCCCTCTCCTTCTCCTCCTGCTCATGTTGACGTTGTTTCTCCTTCTCCTCCTGCTCATGTTGACGTTGTTTCTCCTCATGTTGACGTTGTTTTTCATGATCCTCCAGCTCCCTCATTTTCATCTCCCTCTCCCATTCCAGCCGCCTCTGCTCCAGGGATGGGGAGCTCCGCTGGGAGGATCCCCTGCTGGGTGCTGGGATCAGGGTGCCCTCGGTATTCGCTGGGCTTCCCCCAACCCCTCCCCCAGGCATAGCTAGGAAGGGTCTCGGGATGTCCTCGGCAGCAGTCTGACCCCTCCCAGCCCGGTCAGGCCCCAGGGCCCACGCTGCGTCTGCCGGGCGGCTCCCCTCAGGGACAGGGATCGGGTCATCCAAGCGATCCCTCTCCTCCAACTGGGCAATCAGTTGTTCCTTGGTGGACCTCCCGATGCGCAGCCCCCTCTGCCTGCACAGCTCCACCAGGTCACTCTTAAGGCGTTTAGCGTACATCTCCCTGCTGGCCACTCGCAGGCCGGGCAGCTTCCCACGGTTTCCAGGAAAAGCCCTTAGTGTGCCAGTCCTTCTTGAGGTCACCACCTCTTTGCCAGGGTCGAGCTGCAGACTCCTCCGCCCCTGGGACCGCTCGCTGCAATCCCCGGGGGACCCTGTTACTGCAAAAGTCTTTCTCTCTGGTCACACATTCCCAGGGGTTAGCCGCCCCCGAAACCGTCTCTCTCTGAATCTTCAGCACGCCTGGTCCCCGTCAATTCCCCTTCGTTTTACTGTTCCCCAGTCACTTACTGCAGGAAGCGCCGTTCACGGGGTGCAGTAGATCCCACCGCTGCCACCAGTTGTCGCGGAGTGTTGGGGAGTCCAGGCCCTGCACCCCTCTTCCTGGGATCCACTGAGACTCTCAGCCAGCCAGTAAAACAGAAGGTTTATTGGACAACAGGAACACAGTCCACAACAGAGCTTGTGGGTACAACCAGGACCCCTCAATCACGTCCTTCTGGGGGAGCAGGGAGCTTAGACCCCAGCCCTGGGGTTCCCTGTGTTCCTCTCCCCAGCCTCCAAACTGCCACTAAACCCCCCCAGCAGGTTCCCTGCTGCAGCCTCTGTTCACATTCCTGGGCAGAGGTGTTACCTCCCCCTCCCCCTCCTGGCTCAGGTGACAGGCTCTCAGGTCTCCCATCTCCAGGGCACATTCCCAGGTCAACACTCCCCCCTCCCTGCTGAGTCACATCGTCACACCTGCTCCCCGTAACCCGCCGGCGCCGGCGCCCTGCTCCCCGAAACCCACCGGCGCCCTGCTCCCCGTAACCCGCCGGCCCCGGCGCCCTGCTCCCCGTAACCCGCCGGCGCCCTGCTCCCCGTAACCCGCCGGCGCCCTGCTCCCCGAAACCCGCCGGCCCCGGCGCCCTGCTCCCCGAAACCCACCGGCGCCCTGCTCCCCGTAACCCGCCGGCCCCGGCGCCCTGCTCCCCGAAACCCGCCGGCGCCCTGCTCCCCGAAACCCGCCGGCCCCGGCGCCCTGCTCCCCGAAACCCGCCGGCGCCCTGCTCCCCGTAACCCGCCGGCCCCGGCGCCCTGCTCCCCGTAACCCGCCGGCGCCGGCGCCCTGCTCCCCGAAACCCGCCGGCGCCGGCGCCCTGCTCCCCGAACACAACCGAGCCGGCGCCCTGCTCCCCGAAACCCGCCGGCGCCCTGCTCCCCGTAACCCGCCGGCCCCGGCGCCCTGCTCCCCGAAACCCGCCGGCCCCGGCGCCCTGCTCCCCGAAACCCGCCGGCGCTCTGCTCCCCGAAACCCGCCGGCCCCGGCGTCCTGCTCCCCGAAACCCGCCGGCGCCCTGCTCCCCGAAACCCGCCGGCCCCGGCGCCCTGCTCCCCGAAACCCGCCGGCGCCCTGCTCCCCGAAACCCGCCGGCCCCGCCGCCCTGCCAGTTGACTGATTTTAATGGGCTTTTTTCCAAAGAGCTGATCGTGGTGGGTGCTGAACCTTTAGAGATCTGGCCTGGGGGCTGGCCCCCTCCCGCCCCATGGTCTTGGCACTTTCTCCTGCTCAGCTTTCTTCTACATGCACTTGAACTGAAAGACTGTTCCGCTTCCAACCCCCCGACCCACCCGCCACAGAAATCTGTGGGCGCTGGCAATCTCTGAGAAAGCAGAAGTGCGGGAGGCCGCAGGAGTGGCTGGGCTGGGGATCTCACGGCCTCCGTGCTGCTGGGGGGACAAACTGAGAGGCCAGGGAGAAACAGAGCTCACCAGAGCCCTGCTCTGCAGCCTCAGAGAAACCTTCCTGCAGTGGTCCTGGCTGGGGCTGGTGTGAAGCCGGAGAGGGGCAGGCGCTCCCCTGTGGGGCAGGGTATGGAAGAGGGCACCGCCCACCTAGAGGGACTTCAAAGGGCGGAATCTTTTGTTCCATGTCCTGATTTTGCAGTGAGGGTTCTTTGTGTAACCAGCATGATATGGGACAGGGATCACATGTAACCAGCATGATGTGGGAGCATGGGGTGACTTGTCCTGCTGTCCGGAGTGGCCCGCGACCATGATGCCTGCCTCAGGGCAGACTGTCAGAAAACAGAGCAGACACCCGCAGCTGGTGGGGTGGTCTGTCATTAGATTTCACCAAGCCAGTAACAAATGTGAACTCCTGGATCACTATCCCAGTCTGACCATGGAGTCACAGACAGTCCCCTTGGACTCTCCAGTCTATCTTGCCACCCCGACAAACGGGACTTTGGGATAAAAGGTCATACCAAAAATCACAGCACATTCAGGTTGCTTCCAGTCCCGAGAGCCCAGTCACTTGCCCCAGATCCATTGGTACCCTAGATCTTACGCCTGCAGCCAATCCTGTGATAAGCTCTGGCTATATCTGTACTAAGATGGCTCATATAGTCACCCTACGCCATGGGAGAGAGCACTCACGGCGACTTAATTAAACCACCTCCAACGAGTCATGGTAGCTGCCTTGGCGGGAGACGCCCTCCTGCCGCCATAGTGCTGTGTACACTGCCACTTATGCCAGTGAAACATATTCGTCGGGGGGGTGGTTTTTCACAGTTTTGCCCCAGGGCGGTGGGTATAATAGGCCAGGGAAGGCTAAGCCTCTCCTGGCCCAGCCGCTGCCAAGGGACACCGGGCCGTGGTGGACCCGCCCCTTCTCTGAGGGCCCCCCCAGCGCCTACTGCTGCTGCCACCTGCCTACCTTCGCTCCACCTCCCCCCCTTGGGGGCGGGGGAGATGCTGCGAGCAAGCGGTGGGCGTGGGGGTCTGGTGGGGGAGTGAGGTGGCTCGGTCAGGCATTGGGCCTCGGGGGAGGGGGGTGCTGGCTCTGCCCAGCACTTGGGCGGGGGGGCAACGGCCTGGGGCTCAGGTGAGGGGCAGGGCAGAGCGGCTCAGCGCTCCTGGGGGGTCGGCTCGACTTGGCCTGGCCCTGGGGCCAGCCCGGCGTGGCGCTCCGGGGGGGAGCGGTTCGGCCTGGTGCGGCGCTCGGCCCAGTGCTGGGGCTGGGGGGGCTGGCCCAGGGTGGGTGAGCCCGGGCTCCTCTGATCGCGGGGGGAGGGCTCAGGACTCCTCCTATTATGGGGAAGGGGGCGTTTCGGGGCTCTGGCATGTGGGGCGCAGGGCCTTGAGTGGAAGGGTTGGGGCCTTGGGGGAAGGGGCGGGGCTGGCAGGCTAGACTCCCCAAAGTGGGGGTTCACCCGCTGCCCATGGTTTTGCCAGCGTATGTGGCAGCACAGACGTGGCCTAGCTAAAGGTTGGTTAACTAGGAGAAAGAAATAGGAGTGTTATTGACAGGTTAAAACTATCCAGCACAGACATACCGGTTGTAGTGATCTGTCAATTCAAAGTGTGTTTCAGGGCAGACCGAGGAGCTTACCCCTGGGGATCTCTGGCTTCAGTCTGGGCTCTCTAGCCCTGTCAGAGTTCAAATGGGGAAGAAGTGGGAAATTGTCCTGTGTCTCTGTGCCTTCATTCAGCTTCCAGGTCCATAGGACAAGCTTCCTTGGAGGGATAGGGCCATTAGCCAAGCCTTTGTATTGGGATGTTCCCTGAGGGCCCATCCGCTGTTGATAGTCCCGGAGGGGCAGATAGTCCCTGTACCTGGGCTCACAAGTTCAGAGCAAACATTTCCACAGTGATAAAGTCAAAGGTAGAAATTTCCTCATTCCCAGAGAGATCCCTGCAGGCAGCAACGTACACGCATTTCACAGAGTCTAACCACTGTGACGGGGCAAGGCCAGATGGCTATGGAAAAGTAGTGGGAGATAGATATATTAGCTCCATGCTAAACAAATCCCTGGTACCAGGTTAAGTGAAATGGAAGCTGCTCCAGGTCAATTAAGACACCTGGTGCCAAT